ATAGAAGTATGGATTTTCAAAGTATACGACTACTATGTAAAAGAAAGCAATACAGTGAAAGGAACATGTTTTTGTCTACATATAACAAAGAAAAGCTAACTTGGGAATTAACGCAATAAAAATAAAAATCATATCCAGATTAGTAGCATGGCGACGAAAGCCATTTGTCCGTCACTTGGTTTATTGATAGGAAGAGATTAAAAATAACAAAGTTCGGAGCGCATTCGAGACGATGCACGCCGGACGATTTACTTTGAATTTAAAAAAACAGGACCCGTCAAGTTCGCGCATTACCTATCTCGCATCCTTCACATTCTCTGTATAAAGAAAACGATACGATAAGTACTAATAAAGTATTGTCTGCAAAATTTTGATGCGTGATTGCTTTCCTATCTGCGAAAAGATGCAGAATTAATAACGTAAAATTGTCTAGTCCGTTCATCTATAGTTAAAGACGATTTACGATGTCTCGGCCCCGTCCCCCGATCTCCCCACTCCACGGTCCGCGGTCGGCGTTGCGTTTTTACCGCGTACGTGATAGGGCAACGGCGGAAAGGATACAGATGATATTCAATAGTACCCCAACACAATATATAATTCAATACGCTGATACGCAGTCGATTTATCGCAGGCTCATAATTATTCCATAAATACATTTTGTATATGTTTTCCTTTGCGGACAGAATCGAATGCTTTTGTTTTGATTATTTTAATAGTGATTTAACGGAACCGAACTCTGCTTATTTCTATAATAAATCATTCGAAATATATCCTAACTTAGCGACAATTTTAAAAGACAAATCAATTGGTATATTAATGAAAGAAAATACAAGAACAGCGTATGATGAATAAGTCCTTCTTTCGTTCTCGTGACACATAAGTGCACTCCTATATCAAACACAATCAATGAATTTGACTGTTTCATAATTTAAATTGTTTCAATTATATAGCGCCTCAATCGATCGCCCAATATAAAGTGGCCCGCACAAGTTACACGCATAACAAATGATTCGAATACATTATTTTGTACATAACAACCATTTATTAAAAAACATAATGTAAGGAATTATTTTATTAATAAAGAGAAAGAACGTCATTATGCTTGACGACCCATTTTAATCTTAAAAATAGTATACTTTAGTACTTTTAAAAAGCGTCTTTTGAAAAGTCATCTTGAGACTTTTGGAGTAGTAAACTTCAAGTATTGTAAAAAACGCGACATCCCACAAAATTGAGTGGAATGCAAGCGCGTGTAACCATGACTATTTTGCCTCGTGTATTTGTTTTTTTTTTTTGTTAAATATTCATTTGTCATTATTAAACTGATATCAGAGGACGTGGCCGGTTGATTGAAACAGATTGACATTACACAAATTGTAAATGACGAATCGATCTATCCTTTCGGTAAAAGCTGACGATTGTCTTGATTGGCTATGAGAGCTTTTTTTATTCAGTTACTCTTTAACAGAGGGCAACGATGTTAACAAGGCGCAGTGTCTCGAAACACTAGTACCAACAACACAAGACTCAAGTCCGTAAAACAAAAGGATAGGTAGATTATGGATCTTTCTTTCGCGGTCCTCGCTTGCCTCTCTAGTTTCCATATTCTAATATTTACGGAAGCTATTAATAGAGTCCATGTACTCCTTGACTCTAAAGTACACATTTATTTATTTTATCAAGACTAGATTATTACATACAAGCTATCACAATTTAACGTCGTTAAAATACCACTGAGGAACACCCTTAGTGTACATTTCTCATACCGTTTATCACTTTGAATGTGGCAGTATTTTTTTAGTCAATGAGCACTTAGAGTGTGGAATTCTTGTAGTTAATTAAATTAGTTGATTAATCATGCGAAGATCTGGTTTTATATTAGAAAACTTTAAAACGTTAAAGGAATCACAAATTACAAGTAACGCTATAAAATTAATTATTCGTTACTTCTAAAGAATTTTATTTAATTTCGTAATTTTTACCAACAGCAGTTGCAGGTTACGTTGTGTTAAGCATATGCTTTCATACGCATTTTACAGTTTGCAATAAATTATAAAAAAGTTACTGTTTGAATGTTCATAGTTATTTTAGTAGGTATATTTACAAGAAGCGTCACAATTTTTTTATCTTAGTAGGGCTGTTATATTTTATTTATAACTTTATGAAAACAGACGCACGCACGCAGACCTGCTTGTATGATGGTTTCAGTATTCAATGCGGGATATACGAACATACCTTTTACATAGTTATGTATAGTTACTCTAAATCTGTACAACCACAGACGTAAAAAAGACTTATTACTTGTGTTCAATTCGATTCTAAAATAAATAAATTCGATTCTAATATCGAATTATTTCGCACTCGAATTGGTCACTAAGTGATAGCTTTAGTTTAGATTTATCTTAATAAACTCCAGCGAGAATTTCTAACAATTTTAATTACAATACGACGAGTATAAAAATGTATGCTAACGTGAATAAAATGTATTTATTTTTTTTAGAAACAGCAATTTTTTTTTTATTCATTTAAATGTTATCCAGAATTTACAGATAGAAATACATTATAAATATTATATGTATAAATTATGCCAAAGGAATGTAGATGAAATGCATAAACATGACACAATTTACGCTTTCTGCGTAGGAAAGTGAAATAGCCCAGTGGAATGAGGTAACATCGATTAGACTAGCGCCGTTCACCCGGTCTCGGCCGCGCTCACTTTCGTACGAGGTGAGATACGACCAGTATCAACAGCGCTTTCAATACCGCGGACAGAATACGATAAAATGCATATATTTATGTACGTATGCATATAGAATGCGCTGTTATCTCTACGTGATTAAAATAATTTTTAATATAAAATTTATTGAAACAAAAAACTCACAACTCTTGTTATGAAATATTTGTTTTAAAATTAGATATGTTTTAAGTTTATTTAGAACTAAACATAAAGAGTATGGGACAGGATGAATAAATAAAGAGTAAACAAACATAGATCTATTCTTAATGATCTTGTTAATTTTAAAAACTACTCCTAGTGTTATTATTACAAATGTTAATTCATTTGAAATATGTCCAAAGGGTATATTTAAGTCCTCTTCCCACAGTATCGTATAATAGAATAGTGACAAGGTACATATTTAGCAAGGAAGATAGAGGAGAGTTGAAACACAATCTAGATTAACGGCAAAGCATTAGCAATCTGTTAACTTAATGCTATAGGCTATTTTAGCAAATTAAGTTAGCCGCTTGCTTTGCCACTTTTAATTTAAAAATTTAAGTACAAACATCTCTGTTTATTCTAAAACAACATCCATTATAAGTGATAAAGGAATGTAGGAACTCTAGCCCAAACTAAGTAAAGACTGGTAATCTTTTATTTCTAGAAAAAGGAGGCCTGTATACTGTAATGGAACTGTTATGTCTGTTAACGCTTGACCACAATCCCAACTGAAAAAAGTGATGATGCAGTCAAAGATATAAGCATATTAAGTTGTTACAGATGATATAATTAGATATTTCAAATAAAACTTAAATAATATATATTGTTTTAGAGATACAGTCTTTTCTCATAAATAACTGAGAATAGATTAAATTTTAACAAAGTATGTTCGGTATTTTTATTTTATTTTAATCTAAAATTCTTAATGCCTGTTCTACATTGCCTCCAAAATTATTTTTATTACATGACTAAAAATAGAAAAGCCTAGGGTTTATTATTCGTAGATTTTTTATGTTAATATTAAACATTGGGTTCAGATAAGAAACTTAAAATAATCATGTTACTCAATAAAGATAAATAACATACCTTGTAGCCTCAGCAGAATGCGATAAACTGCATTACTTTTACTTTCTGATAAAATGGTATTATTTCTTACACGTAATTGAGATATTCGCACGATTCCTAAAAGTAAATGCTGCTAAAATAGCACCAGCGAGGCCGAAAGCACCGAGGATAACACATACACTGTACTCGTTCTGTACTAAATTTGCAATAAACTCAAAATTATTGGATACTACTTCGCTTAATGCAGCATTAAATACCAATTCGTTACCACAACAAGAAGTCATCACAATTTATGATATAATAATTATGTATAATTGCAAACTATAACTTAAATTTGATTACAAAAATTCATTATCTAATAAAATATTAAAATATATATTTGACCTAAATAAAATCTTATCGGCATGTAAACACCTGAGAATGACAAAAAATTCTTTTGACGTTATGTAATGTTACCATAGTTTGTGTTCTACTTTGCCCTTATTACGGGAATTTTTAAAACTAAATGTTTTTCTTATTTTGAAAGTTCTTTTCAGAGATTAAATTAATTCAGATTAAGAGAAACGAAAAACGAACATTTTCACTACATAAAACACGCAAAGGTGAGTAAAATTAATGCTAAAGTATTTAAGTGATACAACTTCCACTTCTACAACCATAACTTTCAGTTATTATGCGCATGCCTCTAATAATATTTGATACAAATATTTTTCATTGTTTTCTATTAAGTTATATTCAGCTATAGATCGAAATCGAAATACTAAAAATAAGTAATTTTTAAAAAATAAGTAGCAACACAGATTCGTAACTTTTTGTGGCTAAGGCAATTTTGGTGTACAGCCACTTGACACAAAGTATTTACGAATGTCACATAAAAAAACTACTACTATTTTACCGAAGAAAAGAGGTCTGAATTAACTTTCCATGTAACAAAAGTATAGCAAGCGACGTAAAGTTTACTCCACCTTTTGAGATTTCTGTGGAAGTCAATCAATTATTATTGTTTTAAAATACATTGACTCACTTTTCACTTGCTTCTTAAATAAATTGTATCACATTTTTTTTAATGAAAAGTTTTAATTAATAATAAGGCAATTTCATTTTAAAATCTTTATTTTATTACAAAAAATAATATATCTTATATTAACAAGCTCAAGTTTTAGGTTAATAATTTGAATAGATGTTATTATTAATTTATCAGAGGTTTTATTACTAAAGAATATTTATAATCTAAAGGATCAACATTATTTTTTTAAATATCTCAGTAGAATTGGTTTGACCTAATAATTACAAATCTCTTGAGTCTATTAAAAACATACAAAAAAACTAAAGAAATCTTAACTAAAAACACAAAAACGCCACAAAAACTGAACGGGTTTTGTATGAGGAATGTCATAATATTGTATTAATTTGAAATGTTAAATAAATTATTAATTAAAAATGCTTTTACAAAACACAGTATACAGTTACAAATTGTGTTATAATATGCATAAATTTTAAACAAAATTATAAATAAGTCAAAACTATCAATACATTCATGAACATAGATTCTTTGGATTGTAAATCAATGAATACAGTTACTATCTATAAATATTTTTATAACTGTAACCTTTTATGAAAGACTTTATTTTCAGTTATTAATTATTTAGATAAGACACTGTAATGTGAAAAGTGACATTTACTATGAAAGTTTAAAATACAATATTTAGTACTGGTACTAAATTTAAGTATTTTGTCAATACATCCAAACATACTAAAAGCATACAATTGAGAACAAAGTCATTTTTTTAAATGCGTCAGTTTAGTCAAGTCAAAATATAATCAAAACAAATGAACAAATGTTTTGTCAAAATTTGCACTAAAATTTAACATCAGGTAAAACAAACATAAGTTTTTCAAGCAATTTTCAAGAGACATTTTGGAATACAACATAGTTCAGCCATTTAAAATTTAGCTACACTGGGTTTTAATTATTTTAATACTATTACATGACATCACACTTATATTAAATTCAGTATCTACTACCTACCTATCCTATATTTAAATCCTTTTGTGATATCAAGACACAATTATTAAATAAAAATTCTACTAATTACATCGAAATTCTGTAATAATAGACATTTAAAGTTTTAGAAATTAAGTAAAGCAATATTAAAGTCTTATCTTTGGTACAATAGATATAGGTGAGCCTGTAATAGGTTTCTTAGGGCTATGTTTGTTTGGTGAATTCATAACAACATCCACGGCTTGTCTCAATATTCTGTGTTCACTCTTTTTATATTCTTCCGTTATTTGAGATAAATCCAGATCTGCATCTAAAACTAGCACCTGAAATAGAATAAAAGTATTTATTACAAACTTTGATAATCCAATATGAAAATGCTTGTAAAATTCTGCACTAATTTCCTTGCATCAAGATATATTACTGTTATGGTTTTATCATCAAAGGTGGCATGAACAAACAGGTTTTGCTTAAAATGATGACGATGATATCCTTCATGACATAATACACCTATTGCAAACCTTGCAATATTCTTGAATGTGCTTAGAGATGGCATCTGGCATCCAAGAATAGATTAGAAGGTCCAGAGATATTGTGTGTATAAGTCATAGGTAGAGATTTAAGTTGCTTAAAGCAGCAGACATCTACTAGAAGTAAAAATTAATGCCTATGTTTAACAACGCGTTTAGGCGCCATGTGTAGCTTTTTGTCACACTGTGTCTAGAATACTGTGTACCTTATGTGGCCTGGAAGGCATGAATTTCAAATGAACAAATCCCAAGCCACGTGTATCTAATTGTCACATGGATAAAAATCCAAGGAAAAAGGTATACCCTTTTAAGTAGTTTTAAACACAATCCAACAAAAAAATAGTATTGTGCTTTTTTTAAACACTCACTTAAGGTCTGGTGCTCAGGGTGTTAATGTACAAATATATAGATGGACAAGATAAAGGCTAAATGCAAAAACTTACAGGAGCAGGACACTCCGCATGGACCCTGTTGATCAACCAGTCTTCATGCAGTTTGTGCAACTCTTCTATATACGACAGTGGGACACATTGCTCTTCAGAGCGGGCTCTCTTCTTTATTCTCTCATATACTACACTAGGGGTTGTTTTCAGGTACACTGTAATATTTACATAATCTAGATAAGATTTCAATTAAATTATGCAGAAAAATATATGTTACTAATAATTATACAGCCAGTTATAATACTGTTCTTCTGAAACTCTTAAAATTCTACTTGCATGACCTTATAAACCTACATTGTTGACTGTTAAGTGTCAGATTAATGTGTTCATGCAGTAAAAGTTATGAGATTCAGTTTCAAGCATGCAATCGATTTTACAATAAAATTACTCAAGTAGTATTTACAGATTAGGTAGATATGACCCAGATTGTGATATAAGTCAAATAATTTTTAACATTGGGACTAAAAATTAACTTACCAATAAGATCTGCTTCAATAGGTATTTGCTGGTGGATAAACCTGAACCATTCGTCAAGAACTGCAAACTGCGCCGGATGCATGACACCTGATTTCATCATGTGTTCCACAAAACAATATCGAGCACTGTATATCGAGCGTTCCATCAGTTTTACTGGCGTAGTAGTTGTTCTGCGATGCATTTCTAACATAGTAAGTGAAACGTACGCTTGAAAAGTCATTGCCCATTTTGCTGGATCCTTGTACATTAGGTCCTAAAATCGTATAAAGAAATACATAAATAGACATGTCTAATAATCACTTGTTATAACTAGAGAACTGTAATCATACCAGTAGATTCCATCCATGAAGATTTCGCCATTCTTCAACAGGTTCCGTTAACAACGTGATGTCTTCAAATCGTCTAAAATGTTCCAGGAATGTTGTTTTGCCACTTCCAATATTGCCTTCTACGAATACAGTGAATGGTTTGGTTGCGGGGATACTCATTTTATGAAACTGCCTGCAAACTGTGAAATAACAGAAAAATAGGAGTCGCTATGTCGGGTCGTTGGTAAGTTTCCCGCCTAAATTGCCCTGTGCCAAATGCCAACGACCTAACCAAAAATATCAAAATAACGCGGCAAACAACATAACTGTCATCCACAAAGATTGCATAAATACCTTTAAAAAGGGTTCCATATAACATTAGACGTGACATTATGCATCTTATATTGTAAACAGATAAATATTTTGTGTTGTTTCGATATTTTATAGTAGAAAAATCAGTTTTTTAAGTGCTTTAAAGTCAGGCAATTTTTTTTTGCAAATGTCAAAAATCAATATGTCAAAAAAAGAAAACAAAAGAAACAGACTACATTTGGTGTAATAAAAATTAAAAAAAATAAAAGTTTTTTTCTGAAACATATCAGGTAATGTAGACATAAAAGTTAAAGTAGGTAGATGTAAATGGAAGTAAAAATACGAAATAGGCCTTTACTTTACTGAAATTATTTCATGCAATATCATGGTAACACAAAATAAAATAGCGCGAATTGTAAATTCTCCAATAAGATGAATCCACGAAATCCATTGACAACTCCAGAACTTTTTGGTTGTTATTTGAGTTGAAAAGATTGACGTGTTTTTCATTATATCGAAGTTATTGGTGCCGGTTTAATTAATCTCTTGGAGCACGTAATTATTGTTTACTTGAAGCTATAAAATTAACGATAATGCTACAAATCCGCAGTCTAGGTATGTTTTAATAACACACATTTAACTGTGAAATTGTACTTCACGCTTATTACAATTCATTCATTTCATGTATACCGGCGCGGCGTTTACTATAATGATACTTGATTTTTCAGGTATTCTCTTATTTGTCGTGGGGACGTATGCTTTGTACGACTCCTCGTCAGATGTTATAGAATTGACTCCCAACAACTTCGACAGACTCGTCACAAAATCTGATGAAATATGGATAGTTGAATTTTACGCTCCATGGTGTGGACACTGTAAAAACCTTGTTCCTGAATACAAAAAAGCTGCTCGTGCATTAAAGGTAAGTTTTATTTTATTTCATCCATTTGTAGATGCTAAACCTTTCTTACAAGATGTTAAATGAATATTTTTACTATATTTCTTGACATCAATATTAGTACAGTTTTAATAGTTATTTGGTAAAGATAAACTATGTAGAGTGGTTTAAATTTAGGATACTACATACAACATTACTAAAGTAAGATAAGAAAATGTCATAGCTGCAGTGATAAAGTTTTAAGTGTTCTTTCTTCACTTTTATGATCTCAGGGTATCATCAAAGTAGGTGGTGTAGATGCAGATCAACATAAAGACTTGGCACAGAGATATGGAGTTACCGGGTTCCCAACTATCAAGGTGTTTTCTGGTAGCAAGCATACTCCATACCAGGGTCAGAGGACTGCTGAAGCGTTTGTTGATGCTGGTATCAAGGCAGCAAAGGACAAAGCCTATGAAAACCTTGGGAAGAAGGCTGGTGGTTCTTCTGACAGGGTAAATATCAAATTTTTTAATTTAAATTTTAATTATAAACTCACATTCTTTCTTCTAGATTTTGTTACTTAATAAGAACTTATGTAACATTGAAAAGTTCTCATTGTTGCACCTATTTCTAGAATATTTAACATAGTACATTGTCAATACATTGTCTACTTTATGCCCAACATATCTAAAATTAATAGTAAATGTAAGTATAGCATAATTGATATCTTTAGTAACATAAAATAACACAGAATTGTCATACAAAGCTTTTAATAATTTATTAGTGGAAATTAAGAAATGGCTTGTATGGACATGAGATACCTTGGAAGCCTGTTAAGAAAATATTGCTTGTGAAGCAAATTGAACAACCTAAAATGACAGCCCCATTGAAAACTAAAGGGAATAATATTAATTTACTTGAATTGAATTTGTTCCGAGGCAAAGTGTTTGATGATGATCCACCCAGGATAGTGAAACTAAAATATAAATTCAATAAAAAATAAATACATTGTTGATAAAAATTTAATTTTGATCTTCAGTCTTTTTACAATTTTTCATTATTATTAAAAACTCTTGACTGTTTAATTTTACCAACAACTTTACATAAATATAAATAGTACAATTACAGTTTTATTCGTAAAAACCTAGTTAGTCATACATTTTGTACTATTAATATGTTTTTAATGTTTACTTAAAAAAATAACACAGTGGGCTCCATAAACATAAGTCTCAGTCAAGAGAGTAAGGGTCTGTCCCACTAGTGGCTGATAGAGGCTTAGATAGTCTAAAAATGACATCACTGTCAGATAAGGTAACAAAATCCGGTACTTCCATCACATATCACATTGGATTGTTATCAAACAATTTACAATTTGGTGGGACAGGCCTTAAGTCAATTTTACTATCCATATATGTATAGTATGATGTATCATCTAAAAGGAGGGCAATAACTTCTTATCAATTATTGTATACATGTGCTTATTATCTTAAAATAATCTAATTATGTAAACAAGATAATGTGTAACATGTATTAGAAGTATGCATAAATTACATACCACCTTCTTATAATTTCAATATAGAACAAATTAGTCTTAAGATACTTTTTAAATAAGTCTCCAACATTTATTGAGTTTAAATTTACAGCTTTCATACATTTTTTTCTATTTAATTACATGTAGTTTTATTTCTTAACAATGATTCAATAGATATTTTTTTGTCAATTTGATAAATAAAAATAAAAAATAACGATTTATATTTGTTTTGGTGATTATTACTTATACTTGAATCAGTTTACAGTTAATTATGACCTTAACTGTATTTTCAAAATAAATCGGCTATAAGAGAGCGCCTACGCGACTCTCCTTTCACCAAATCATAGGACGCCTACATAACTTCTAATCACTTATTGACCTTGTTAATTCTACCTACATAGTACCATGTGGGTTTATATTCTAGTATGTTCTATATTTTAAAAATCTTTATGTTCCAACTAAAATGAAAATAACTACAAATTATTATTTAACCATTATTCAAATACAAGCTAATTGACATCAAAATGAACCTTGTAAATGTCTTTTCTTTGTTGTTTCTTTACCATAGTTCATTTTCTTTCAGTCTGATGTAATCACATTGACCGATAGCAACTTTAAAGAACTGGTTCTGGATAGTGAAGATCTGTGGTTGGTGGAGTTCTACGCCCCCTGGTGTGGTCACTGCAAGAACCTCGAGCCTCACTGGGCCAAGGCAGCTACGGAACTTAAGGGCAAGGTAAGCATAATTAAATTAGTTTTAAGTTTTATTGTTCTAATCAAGAATTATTCAAACTTTATTTGTTAAGTAAAGTTGTAAAAGCGGTCCATATTTACTTAAATTAATTTACGAAGGTTATAAATAAAACAACACTGTAATTAATGGTTTATTACACATTTCTACATGATTTAAAATTAATATAAATTTATGGTAGTTCTGTTGACCTGTTTAAAAAACAGTCACTTCACTTTATTTTTGTGGTATAAATTTATTGTTACAAATACTTAGTTCTCCAGTCTTTATTTTATTGTTCACGAAATTCTACAAGCAAATATTTCAAACATTGTAATGCCATGACCCACTTGTTTTAATATTTCCACCTTTTAGTACAATAAAAACTGTATACTTTAATTTTACGAAAGGTAATCTTTCCATATAGCAGCATTGTTCCTCTTGCATGCAACTAAATATTTGATAATTTTCTAAGTAATTAATCCTCACAACACTGTTTTTATGTTTATATTAATCTTTTAAATTTAATGGTGTAGATAAATACAATTTAAAATCAATATACTGTTATTCTATTAAAAACATCTTTAAATTCGATCAATAAGTTGTGAGAATTACTTTTGACATTTATGTAAGCAAAATTAAAAACATATTAAAATACTAGCTTTAACCCGCAGACTGTCCATATAGAATTGAAGAAAACTTATTAAAAAAACTTAAACAAGTACCCTATGCCTTTTTCCAGACCATCAACATCTGTGCCAAATTTCATCTCGATCCATTAAGCCACTAACTTATGCATTTAAAATAGTAAGATAAAACTCTTAAATCTGCAGGTGAAAGTAGGTGCATTAGACGCGACGGTACACCAGGCCATTGCCTCGCGATACCAAGTGCAAGGATATCCCACCATCAAGCTCTTCAATGCTGGCAAGAAGACATCCGACTCAGTAGAAGACTACAATGGAGGCAGGACTTCAAGTGATATTGTGGCCTATGCTATGGAGAAACTCGCTGAGAATATTGCACCACCAGAAATTATTCAGGTATGTCTAAGCTAATTTTTACCCCTTAGGGTGCTACCCCTAACTTACTCTGAATTCCCTTAATGGGAAATTATTGAGCTAATGATACTGAGTTTATTTCTAACTAGCTTTCCCCCGCGACTCCATTCGCGTGGTATTAAAAAAAACAAAAGCAAGTACCTGATTATTATTCCAGAATATAAAGAAATCCATTCAGCCATTTAGGCTACAAACTCTAACAAACATCCATTCATCGGTCCTTCCATCTAAACTTTCGCATTTATAATATTAGTATGATGTTTTTTTTAAATAATAATTGATTACTAGCAATATTAATTATGTATATTTTTTTACAAATATACTAAAATGGTCTCCTTTTTTCTTCTTGAGTATTAAATATTTTTTTAATACCGTAGTTAAATCTTTTAGGTTGGGACAATTCAGTAACATTTCATCCAGTTTTTAAGAAAACAATGTAAATGTCTTTGTTTCGTTTAATTAATTTTAAAATGACAATACTCACATTTCGCACGTCAGATGAATAAAAGATCTCAAAAATGAATGATTATGTTCAATTCCATAAGGCTAATTAAATCTACATTGAAAATTAATTGCTTACATGTGTAAGTTGTTTGATTCAAGTTAACAACTTAGTGCAAATATTAATCAATGTGTATCTCAACTTGTATGTGTTTCAAGTTACAAAACCGCAGTCTTAAGTTACAATAAACATTGTTGCTATAGTAAATGTTTTCATATGATGTAATTTCCATATAAATTTATTGCTGTTTTACACCATTGCTATTCAAAACTCCATTTTATTATGTAAATTGCAAATAGTAACAATGTCTTAGAATTTCTGTAATTTAAATAATATATAATAATTGTTTTTGGTCATTATTCGCAGCTTTTATGTCTGCACAGACAACTGTGAATTGATTATTTCTTATTAGCTTTCGTCCACGACTCCGTCTGCGAGAAATTAAAAATAAACATAAATGGGTAGCCTATGTGTTCTTCCAGACTATCTCCTACATCTATGCTAAATTTCATCTAAGTCCCTTCAGCGGTTTAGGCTACAAACTAACAAACATCTATCTAAACCTTCGTGTTTATAATATTAGTATTTTTTAGGTTGTAAATGAAGAGACAATGAAGGTGTGCAGTGAGAAGCCATTATGTGTGGTGTCCATACTGCCGCACATACTGGACTGCAACGCAGCTTGCCGGAATGAATACATCTCTATACTGGCACGCCTCGGGGACAAGTATAAGAACAAGATGTGGGGGTATGTATTCATTATTTATACAGGATTCAAATTATATGTAAGTATGTTCTATATAAAAAGTTATGTAGAATGTAAGCAACATGTTTTTGTTTTATTTCTAAAATAAGCCCTACACTTATGGATATACTTTAGATTTTATATTTTCATGCTGTTAATCTATGGAATTCATTTGGAAAAAAATGACTTGCGAGAAAGGGACAAAAACAAGACAGTTGCAGAAAATAAGTAATAGTCATGGTAATGGTAATGTTAGCTAATGGGGAAAAGATCTTCATTGTATTACAATTTTGAGATTTTGAATATGAAAGTTTTATATATGTGAAGTGCGGGAACATCTAATAACGGTTAGGAGGTTAGAATTGTCTATAATAAGTTAAAATAAATATTTTTCTTAGATGGGTATGGACGGAGGCTGGCGCACAGCCCGCGCTGGAGGCGGCGCTGGAGCTGGGCGGCTTTGGGTATCCCGCCATGGCTGTTGTTAACGCAAAGAAACTCAAGTTCTCCACACTCAGGGGATCCTTCTCGGAGACTGGCATCAACGAGTTCCTCAGGTATGCCTTTATAAGTCTAGCTTTCCCCTATAGCTCTGCTGGGAATTAAAAAAAACAACTTAGTAAATAAAATTTCATTTTAAATTAAATTTCATCCATCCATCCATCCAAATGTATGATAAATATGTATTGTATAACCCCTACTTTACAATCATGGCTAAAATTTTTCCATTTTGTTCATTATCATCCATATCTCTACTTTGCAATACAAAGATAGTTACAAATTATGTAAATCCATATAGATTACTCAAAAATTACAGTTTATTTTTTTCATAGCTTAACAAATAAATAAGCGTTGTCTTTGAAATAGTTGGCATAATGAGGAAGTAGAAAAGGTTTTACTGCCTCCCCTCTAGATGCCAACGCTACTTAATGTCCAAGGGTGTGGCAGTCAGTGTATGAACATACACATATTTGTGTTTAAATAATTATTAAATCAACAGGGATCTTTCATTCGGTCGAGGTCAAACAGCGCCAGTGAAAGGAGCGGAGATGCCAAAGATCAGTGTCTCCGAGCCCTGGGACGGCAAGGACGGGGAACTGCCTCTGGAAGAAGACATTGATCTCTCCGATGTAGACTTGGAGAAGGATGAGCTATAAGTGATGTAATTGCCAGTGTTGCCAATGTGTCCACACGTGTATACAAAGACATTTAAGAAGTATATAGACTAGGCATATTGAACCAAAAAATTTTACCAGTACAGGCATCAGTTGAAACATTTAAAAAAATTGTAGTAAGCTCCATCTTTTGTTAAGAAGTAAATTAAACAGTGAAAAAAATAAAATATAAACATTTAAATATTATGTGATTTTTTTAAAGTGAAATGTGAACTCTATATATTTTTTTGAATCTCTGCATTGAATTTAAAAAAAAAACATGTTTGTATGGAAAATGATAAACGGACCGTAGCACTACTTTGAATGAATATTGGGCCATTGTTAATTCGATGGTTTTGCCAACCTAAAAATATCAAAAGCATATAGCTTATGACCGGTATCTGATATCAGTTGAGGCACTTGAAATACTAAACGCCCACAACCGAACAAATAATAAAACCTCAGCAAGATAAAATCAACAACATAAATATAAAACTAAACAACACTTTTTCTCAGATATTATAACCTAACTAAAACCAAGCATTAACTCTGTCGTAGCACTAATAAAAAATCTTGTCACATTGAAATGACGCTATTTTCAAGTTTTTAGCATTAGTGTATAAAATTGTCTCTTTGTTTTATAAAAATCACAAGATATTTAAGCTTAATTAATTCATTCAAAAGTAAATTAATTAAAAAAGAAAGATGAATTACTAGTTTCCAAAAGCCATAAAATAGGGCCGTAGATTTTGTGATTGTGCCCGGAAGTTAGAACATGGCAATTGCCGTAACATTGGCAACACTGAAGGCTGCCCATAGTCACTTCAAGTTCTTTGTACTCTCAAAACATCACATTTGTTACATTTAATCCATTTTAAAATTAATCTCAGTATGCGGCTGAATAGTTACTTTTATGATAAGTAGTTTAAAGCTTAGAAATGCATTTGTCTGTTACAGTTTATTCTCATAATACTAATTTTAATATTGTATATTTTATAGAAATTTTCAATTTAAGACAATAGATGTATTGTACAATTTTTAACATATCTGAAATTATGGCGTAAATGCAGTTTTTAGATATATTTTTTTAATTGTAATAATATGTTTTTATGAATCACTTTATATCAACTCAGAAATTTGGTCAGCGTCAGACATTACCTTTCTGAAACAACTTTTTCTTAAATTCATCTACGGACTCTTGGTTTGTACTCTTTTTTGCACAGTTTATGTCTTTTTTTCTCTGAAACCACTTAGATATTTCTACTAAACTAAAGAAAAAATTAGGGGTTGTAATATTATTAAATTTTAATAATTACTATTTATTCATGTGAAATCTGACGCTGATTAATATGAGATCTATTATAACATTCTGTAATAGTGAATGGTCTCAATAATGTAATTTATTTCTTAATTAATATAAGGCAATTATTAATAATTTTTTGACTGCCTCTCTTCCAGTGTGTAAAGTTTTTTGATATTCGTGATTTGTGGCCATGTTTTGATTACTAATTGGAAGGCTAATAAATATTTAATATAAATAAATTGTTTCATTTACTATTTTAGTTACAAATTAAAAATTCCATCTAACGTTCCAACATTTTGTTCAGCAGATACAGGGTTATTGGTAACGTATTCCCGCTTAGTGGTGATAGTGGGGTTCATTTGTGATAATTTTGACCTCTATATGCTAGTTACCATTTTCGAGTAATCTTGATTTTAATTTTTTGTCAAAAATGCCAATTCAATTATAACTTGTTTTTTCTTCGTCTGAAGTCTTTATAAAAAACCATTAAACACTGATAATTTTACAATATAAAAACATCAGTTATCAGTCGAAATTAAAAAATGCGAGCTTAAAGAACCATTTTGCTTCAATATTTTTCGAGATTCTCATCCACTGAAATGCCTTATAATATATAATTAAAGATGGCTAAAAAAGGAACGACAATCAGGAAATCTATAATATGATCGATTAAAATACAAAGTCCGCGAAGGAATACATTTTTCCCGCGCCAACTCTGAGTCGCGCGTCGATTTATAAAATTGCATATTGAGACCGGCCGTTAATACACCATTCCTTGATTGGTTCACTGGCTCCGCCCACTTAACAGGAAAACAACGCGAAAACGATTTTAAATTAGGAACTTGCCTTGCCTTAACACCAAAACGTGTAATGGGTTTTGCCCTGTTGGCAAAACAGGTTCTCGAAGAGATTGATTTTATGATAGTTATTTTTTAAAGTGTTACTGATTCTAAACTTTATATTAAACTTGCGTTTTTAGATAATTTTACGTTTGTTGTCGTTTTTAATTACTTTTATGAATGTTTTTAAAACCAACCATAACTTTAGTTGGAGTACGAATTACCGCCCGATTCCTTTGCAGAAATATGTTGAATTACCAAAAAACTTGTATGTTGTTTTAGAAATGAGTTGGTATTTTCAGGATGGTATAGTAATAATTAAATGGAGATAATAAATGAAAGAAATAAACACTGTAAATTAATTATAATATATTTGAGCATTATTTTAACCTAAAAATAGTGTAAAATCTTATAAATATTACATTTCATAAGTCAGACCATATTATAAAATGCAATAAAGCTTGCAAGGCTTTTTTATTTTATAAAAGTATTTGCATTATATAGTTCCTTGTAAAATACATTTAATGAAAAGAAAGGCTGAAAATACAATTTTTATATCTTGCTGAATAATACAATTTTTATACAAAAACTAAATTACATTTTTTGCAATTGTCAATCATATCAGTCACTGGCAAAACGTGTTTCTATGGCACTCCATTGAAAGAACATTTTATGAAAATGAATTAAAAACATAAAAACTATATACAACAATACTAAATAATGTAATACTCAAGATTTTTACTTTGTTCCTTGCTTAATACAAAATGTAGTGAAAATATTAAAATCTACTTAGGCATTTCATTATTTTTAAACTAAGAATATAAATTATACATTTAACTTAAATAATTTTTTAAATCTTTGTACTCCAACATTTTGAGTATATTTTTTTTATAAAATTATGAATAAAATTTGTGCTACATAATTATTACGTAATATTTACTGGAAGCTCTTTTGTTACTCCTATATTTTACATTCTCCTAAAAGAGAAAAATATGAAATAAATTGGAGAAATGCCTTATTCATTTTAAAAACCTTGAGATTATTCTTTAAATATATTTAAAGCAGTTCTCTGATAATCTTTATTTAGCAGTCTATATTTTTTAATACTAGATCATTATAGAAAAAAACTTTAAAAAGTCGGAATCAATATTGATATGTGTAAATGCATTTATTTGCAATTACATACTAGTACAATACCATCAAGTACTGCATGTTCTAAAAATATAGATACATTAAAAATGTACTAAACTACACTTGTTAATCCCATTACGCCATACTTTTTGTTTTTCTGACAAATCACAGGATAGCAAATTGAAAAATAATATAAACCTACGACAGCTAAAATACATGATACTATCAGTGTTACAATTCCCCAAGCTGATATTCCTAAACCTCTTGTGACATTTTGTTTTGCAAACCATTGAGAATAACCAGTACCAGCGTAAATTTTCACTTCTGGTTCTTTATAGCCCTTACTACCATACTTGCCGCCATAGCCTCCTCTGCCGGAACCTCCTAAACCCTCGCATGGTATTATTTGGTTTAAAACTAAAAAAATGACACAACATTAAAAAGCTATCCATCAATTAAATAAATTAAAATGTAAGTAACATTCTCTCGCAGCATAACATTTAAAATATAAATTAAAACAAATTCACTTACCAAAGAGAACCAGGCCAAATCGTATAAATGATTTAATCATTTTTTTTTTCAATAATACAGCTTTGCGTCCAGAATAACTGATAATCGCAATAATCTAATCGTTTATATGAGAAATACAGAAGATAATTCTTTAAGTATCTCTCATGTATTTATGCAAAAATACATAATTTATTTTCCCGTTAACAAAAAATAAGGAAAATCAAGTTCACAAAAACTTTTACCAAAGAGTAACAAAAAAGTATTTACCAAGAATTTACAAAAGTTCGGCAACTGGGAACAGACTATAGTATTTAACTACAGATTAAAAAATATTTTTACCAAAAATTATTCCTGTAATTTCCACCAGAAAATTATTTGTGAACCTTTGCTTCAGTTAATTGATATAGGAAAGAAACGGTGGACAAATCAAGAACCATTGTAACGCCTTTCAATTGCAAAATAAATAAAAAAAACACATGACTTATTGTGTGCCGAGAGTTTGAGCTGGCAACAAAATGTGACGTATTTCCTGCGCTGGCGTGTACTTCCGTATCTCGTTGTTGAAGTGCGTTGTCAAATGTCAAAAGAAAAATGATACCGGCGATGGCTAAAATAACGTTTAGCTTAGCATTTTTGCTTTGTGTTATAATAAAATGTAACGGTGTAAACGTTGATACAATATCAAATGATATCAGGTTCAAGAATGTCGAGCGCCACATAGACATTACATCTCAACTAGTTAAAATAACATCTAAAATAACCTTGGAGAACGCGGGGCAGAAACCGGCAAAGAACTTCTTGTATGCTGTTGAAAGCACGACAAAGAATAATTTGGCCTTTGTTGGAGTTAAAGATAATAATAACAGAGATTTGCGTTTAGTGGAGACTACAGTGAAAGGACATGACGGGGTTAAATTTTGGAGAGTCGAATTAAAAGAACCTATCAGCGTTGCTTCCTCCCTTGTGGTGACAGCCGAAGCGATTTATACCAAGTCACTGGTGCCATATCCGACTGCTATTACACAGCAGGAAGATCAACTAGTGAAATACAATGGCAACCTTTACTTCTTCACCCCTTACCATGTCACGTCACAAAGAACGAGTGTAGCTATGGTCACGAAGACTATCGAGTCGTTTACCAAGGTAAAACCATTTACTCAGCAAGATGGTACTATTTTGTATGGTCCATACAGTAACACTGGACCATTTACAGAAAAAGAATTAAGTATCCACTATAAGAACAATTCCCCATTCTTAACTGTTACACGGCTTGAGAGGTTGATTGAAGTTTCACACTGGGGCAACATTGCTGTTGAGGAAAAGATTGAAATAGAACACACAGGTGCTAAACTTAAAGGACCATTCTCTCGCTATGACTACCAACAGGACCATCACAGTGGTCCTGCTAGTGTGCGCTCATACAAGACCGTGCTGCCAGCTTCAGCTGCTGATGTGTACTACAGGGACACCAATGGAAATATTTCTACCTCGAATATGAAAATCAAGAAAGACTCTGTTGAGTTGGACCTCAGACCTCGGTACCCATTGTTTGGTGGATGGCGGTCCCATTATACTCTCGGTTACAATGTCCCTAGTTATGAATACTTGTACCATTCAGGCAATGAATACTTGCTTAAAATGAGAGTAGTAGATCATATATTTGATGACATGCAAATTGATGAATTGGTTACCAAAATTGTTTTGCCTGAAGGTTCAACAAATGTAAAAATCAATATTCCATACAGTGTTACAAGATTGCCAGACAGTTTGCATTACACATACTTGGACACAAAAGGCCGCCCAGTGATAACCTTTACAAAGACAAATGTTGTAGAGAATCATATTCAAGATTTCCAACTTCGTTACACATTCCCTCGTATTCTGATGTTGCAGGAGCCTCTACTGGTCGTAGGATTCCTCTACTTACTATTCTTATGTGTAATAATTTATGTAAGATTAGATTTCTCCATACATAAGTCTGAACATCCTCACAAGGAGTGATAGAATTGTAATATTTTTAATTTATATAAATTTCTAGGAAGGTAATATTTCTGTTAAAGCACATTTGTATCACCTCAAACATTTATTTTATGCAGAATATAAGTGTTTTTACCTATTACTGTGTTTTTATCTTCATCAAACCATAAATACCTTTCAGACCTAATCATAGTTTAATTTTAAAGATATATTAAAGAATAGCAAATAAAAACAGAAAACAAAGTAAAAGTATAACTGGTGGAATAAAAGAGCTAATTAAATTGCAATTTTAAAAATGTTTATTTTAAGAGTTGATATTGGCAACACTGAGTGGATTTATTTAGAGTAATTTCCGAATGAGAAATTATTATTTGAGCACAACATGTTCATAGAAAAGTGAATATTTTGCTATTTACACAATGGCAGTAGTTTAAAAATAATAAACTACAAATATTTAAGTCCCATACAATGAATATTATTAAATAATGTATAATAATAACTGTTTGTCCTACTACTTAATTTTATTAACTTTTTAAAGTACACTTGTTTATATTAATAACTAAATTATTTCAATAGAACTGTAAATTATGAACACAAAATTATTCTTTGAAAAAAAATGCTTGCAACATATTTCAAACCATTTTAAAAACTACATATTTTAAATAATTTAAACAAATGTAGTGTAATCCAAAAAATGTATTCAATTATATATTAACTATAAAATAAATTATTGGAAACATTAACTACAGATTCCTGCTGCAGAGTATTAAAAATAAACAAAATGGTCACAAACCATTAATACATTTTCAAATAAACACTGAAGATACATTACATAAATTAATTTACACAACCTTTTGCAATTTATAATATTTATAACAAACAAAACTATATAAACGGTAGAATTCCCAGACGTGTAAAGTCAGCTGCACAAAAATGTATCCATTTATAAAACTTATATACACTTTTGGTTTTATATACGCGAGCTATTTGTAATAGCATGTATTTATGGTAGTATACATATGCTAAATGAAGCGTCATCTCTTTTCATTCTCATTGACAAAACAGAGAAAGCAATAAATCGTCGATTAAATAGACTTTTCTAGTCATTTTCGACTTTTTTCAAAATTATCGTTGATTATTACCAAAAAGAGCCTGCTGTTAATATTTTTATATAGATATAGATAAAGATATAATGCTTCACGCTAAACTTATTTAAGCTAAAAGTATTGTTAAAAGTAGGTTCCTTTTAGTAATAATATAATATGTATCTATACTAAGATTTGTATGTATTAAAATAACTCAAAAACTACTGGACCTATTTTAAAATTCTTTCACCGTTAACGGTGTATCTGTAAGTAAAATAGGCTGTACTCTTCATTATTTTTTAATTTAACGCAGACGAAGTCGTAAGCAACATCTAGTAACTAATAATGTAATATTCCGAAAAGAAAAAATACGATTTTTTTGAAAGATGTAATTTTTCAATTTAATCGACGATATATTAGTTTTGTCAGTGGGTTATTTCTAACCGAGTGTGCTGTACTCCGAAGGTTTGATCCTCAAGACAACAGGAGCACTGGTGCAGGGCAGTATCGCCAGCTCCGTGACGACGGCCGTCACCAGGCTCGGCGGAGTCACGTCATACGTCAGATTCAACAACGTCAGATTGGGATTCGATCTCCAGTCCTTCAGTGGAGAACTCTCATCTGTATTGTCAATCAAGTCATCGGGATCACCTGTAGGAAATTATAATTAGGGTAATGTACATTTTACTATATTTACTAATATTATAAATGCGAAAATTTAGATGGATGTTTGTAACCTAAACTGATTATCGAATTTCGATAAATTTGGTCTACTTGTAGAGTATAATCTGGAGCAACACATAGGCTACTCCTTTTGTCTTTTTTTATTCAACACGAAAAGAGTCGCCGACGAAGGCTAATTCAAAATTACTTAAATGGACATAGGATGGATACAGGAAGGGGAAATATTTTTATGTAAGCAGAAAAAAGACATTTCCCCTTCCTCTAGATTAGACAAAATGCACAAAATTTTCAATATTGTTAAGACAATTATTTTTTTCTGTGTTGTATGTGTGTGTGTGTGTATGTTGTTTAGCTCACCGATCTCGTTGTAGACGAAGGCGTCAGTCTGCACGCGGTCGGAGAACTTGTGCGTCTCGCAGGCGACGAGCACGGGCACGTTGCGGTCGCGCGCCGCCAGCGCCACCTGCGCGCTGCCCAGCGGACCCAGCACGCTCCCGCTCGCCAGCAGCGCGCCCGCGCCCAGCACCACCTTGCTCACCTGCGCACGCTCACTGCTGCACTCCCCATTTACATAGCAAATATTTGCATTCCCGTGACTATACCAAATTGTCACTAGCAATAAAAGCTAGCTCCCATCAAAACATGGCAGTCTCTGATAGTTTTTTTATAGTAAAAGGTGACAAATTAGTAAACAGACACCCGTAGACTTATCTGCATCAGATAAGTTGCCTACCTTTCATCAACACAGAATTAGGAAATTTCCCCTATCTGACCAATCCCCAGCTAAAATCCAGGTTCCCTTCCTATCATTTGTTTGTAGAAAAAGGTGAAAGGGGAACTGATTAAAAATAGACCTTCATGATATGATAGTAATTCTTAGACTTAGCAAAGTCATCTGTGGAAGACAGCCAGGTCACATTAGAGACTGCAGAGCACAGCATTGACTAACATTGCGCATGAGGTAGCTGACTGCGGAGATGTCTGCGTAGGAGCAGGGCAGGCCGCAGGCGGCGAGGCGGCGCAGCATCTCGCGCGCGCCGCGCCGCACGCGGTCGCCCACCACCACCGCGCGGAACCGCACGCCGCTCGCCCACGCGTCACATAAGATACGCTCGATTAGCGACGAGCTACAGTACAAAAAATACACCTTTTTTTAAATATATACACATACAACATACATGCATTGACCAGTAGCGCTCAACAAATTAACTGGAATATAGTCAACAGTAACTGGCGCCAGTGAATCTTTACAATCTATGACTGGCCGTCGAAATAGTCCATGTACTGACCAAATATGAACCGGGCATTGCCCCAGTTCAGCGTACGAAATCAGTTTTGGATAGCAACTATAAATTTATAAACCCAAACATTTGTAATCCATTATTTGATTACACTGCACTGGAATAATGTAAACTAGGTATATTTTTTATGGGAGCTAAGGTAAATTGATTACAAAATGATCTTAAAAATGTAAAAACAATCCATATAAAACTAATTACGACTTACCATCCATAGGTCATAATATTGTCTCCATGAGATATCTTGTTGCGCACGGCGATGCTGATGGCCTCGCCCGCCATCTCGATCTGTTCTCTTATGTATCTGTCGATATCTTCCTCCAGACTCTTTTTAGCCTATCATTAAAATACATGTAGTATATATTATTAAGTAAAGAATAAAAATATATAGATAACTTCTTCGCCCGCAAACTTTGTTAGCGCAAATTCGGACCACTTGTTACATCATTTTGACAGCGCGAAGCTAATATGCCTATCCATGTCAGCTACCCTCTAGTGAAAGTCCCGTCGAAATCGGCCAAGCCGTTTCAGAGATTACCCAGAACAAACGCGGCTTGCGGACAGACAGACAGAGACAGACAAAAAAAAATTAAATGCGATTTTAGTTATCTGCAACGCCAATACATCATCTTCCCGAAATCTGGAATTTTTCTTTTGATATTACAAACAGACACCTTAATTTTATTATATGTATAGATAGATATAGATAGTAGAATCTCATATGTAATCTAGACATATTATGAAGCTGACTGTACAATCGATCTATTTTTTGTTAACTGACTTGAAACTCGTCGAAGTGGTTGGGCAGCTGCATGATCTGTCGGCGCAGGTGTTTGACGGCGTTGGTCTGGCTAGCGGCGGGGCTGCGCATGGCCCACAGGAAGCGCAGACTGGCGGCCAGCTGCGCCTCCAGCCCGCGAGACACCTCCGTCTTAGCGGGCAGCGAGTAGTCCCTTATCATCTGAACGATGGACAGCCCTTTTATACATTGTATACAACCCTTTTACACAATGTATACAAACTTTTATACATTGTATCCAATCCAAAAGGATGTACAATGCATAAAAATGCATTGTATATAACCATGGTACCAACTAGTATGGTCGATTATTATTTAAATGAAGCTTAATGCACTTGATATCCTTCATTGTCTATGGATATTGCAATGTTTAAGTGTTCAAGTTAAGATAAGAAAATATTTTTTTTAATAGGTCTATAAATACAGTCTTATAAATGTAATAAGTTCTTTTCTAAGTTATTAAAGAAAAAACAATAAAAGAACACTTGAAATATTTTAGTACTGATACACTTGTGAATATTATTTCCCACAATAAATGGTTAATATTCATAAATAAGATTTAATATATAATAACCTTTTTAAGTGCATCTAACAGTGCGATGCACCTCGCGTTGGAGCCGGTGACGACTCGCGAGGCAAGCTGCACACCCAGCTTGATCACTGCCGGGTGCAGACTGACACAAAATATTACATAATTACAAGGAAATAAACACAAATATTACTATACTAGCTGTTTTCGAGAAGTTTCATTTTAGTTGTTTATGTTAGCCTATGTGTACTTCCAATCATGTTCTATATGTGTGCAAATTGCATTTTTTTTATAATATAAGATGGCACACGAGCAAGCGGCCACCTCAATCCACTGAAATGGAAAGCGACCGCTGCCCATTAACATCTGCAATTGCAAATGCGTAGCCTACCCTAAATTGACGGAGGGAAAGACGTACATAAAGAGGACATTTCCCCTTCCTATGCGTCTCCTCCACCATCAAATCCACTTTTCCTTCCCATCCTTTCCTCTTAAGAAAAGGGTGGAAAGGGAACGGGACTAAATTAGGCCTCTGGGACCACACTCATCAGCCGACACGCGGAATTACTTCCACATCTGTTTTCTGTGTGGTCGTAGTATTGCACTTGCCGGCCAATGCGTGTGAAGATGTTACAGCGGGCTCTGTTAAAATTTGGACAAATTTTCATCCATCCAAACTTATACATTTATTATTAGTAAGATTGAAGTATGATTCTATGTACATTTGTTATTTCCTTACTTGGAATTGAGTGCAATATTCTTCAAAGCATCTTTATCATGTTCAGTATACAAATGTTGGAACCAGTTGGCTCGGTGCATCGTTTGAGGTTTTATTTTAGGTTTTTCTAAAGTCTTCACTTTTGCAGGAACTATCTGCAACCCAAATAATTGTTTTTGTAAAAAATATTTAATTTGTTAAAAAAAATATTTCTTGTTAATAGTTTTAATATTTAAGAGATAGAATTCAACCTGTTTTTTAACTTCTTTTTCTTCAGTGGCTGCCGGTTTTTCCTCTGGCTTCTGCTGTGCTTGCTTTGCAGCTCTCTGCGCCTCCTGCTTTGCCCTTCTCTCCGCTCGTAACTCTGCTTTACTCTTTGTAATTTCTTCTGGCTAAAATAACATAATACCAGATATAAATATTACTGTCCTTCAATCTTTTCGGAAAGGAAACATTGTTTATGTAAAGTTATTTCAGTAGAAAAATTAGTACAACACTTTTAATGAATAATTCAATGTCAATATATATTCAGTTTATTTTAAAATTGAATGAACCTTTTTTGCACAAAATAATTTTGTGTGTGGTTTAACCAAAATATGTCTTATTAAGAAAGTACAGTCCCTCACAAGCGCAGTTTTTAATAATAAAAAAAAAACATACATACCTTGTTTGCACTTAATTCCATTGCTTTGACTCTGTCTGTGACTGCTTGAAACTCTTTAGCAACATTTACAATCCCTTTCAATGTTTCTACAACTTCTCTGACTGTTACATCTTCTACATTTTTGTCTATAACTGAGTTTAATTCCTCAACAGTCTCTGTACTTATGGGCACTGGAGTAACTAAACAATTTTTATTAATATCTTTGTCTACATTATCTCCTTTCTTTTTAGCTTGTTTAGCAGCTTTTTTTGCAGCCCTTTCAGCTTTTATTTGTTCTTTAGACTGTTCACTTGTTTCCGATTTATTTTCTTTAAGATTTAGCTCACATTTTGTAACATTCTCTTTATCTTTTGTAGAATCTTTTAAAAGCTTAGCTTTTTCCAAATTGATAGCTTTTTCTTCCTTTACAGCTCTGTCTACTTCATCTTTACCTTTGGGTAAACTTTTTGGTGTTGGTTTTGCACAAATTTCTATCACTTGATGATCTTTTTTTACAGGTTTTATTTCAGATTTACCTGTTTTAGATGTTTCTGTAGTATCTCCTTTTGCTTCATTATTTAATTTTAGCATTTGTTTACTTTCTTCAGTCTCGGTAACATCTTTCTTAATATTTTGTTGATTTTCATCTTTTTTCTTTGCCTTTTGTTTATTCAATTTCTTTGCTTCTCTTGCAGCTAATATATCTTCTCTAGATTTGTTATTCATATCTTGAGATGACATTTCGTTCTCTAAATTAGCAATGAAACTATCGACTTGACAAATGTATGCAAGATCTCTACTTACATTGCCTATTCCAGTCAGACTGGTGTTTGACAATGCTCCTTCCAGAAGTTCTGGAGGTATTGAAGACAATGTGGTAACAAAGTTAGTTGGTTGTTTAACTTGTTTGTTATTATAACTTATTTCTAAATGTGAATTTAGAGCTTCCCGAAGTTTCTTGCGTCGTAACCTCCTCTTTTGAGATCCTGACAACTTTATACCATCCTCATTGATATCTAAGTCCTGTAATAGTAATCAATAGTATTAGAATAGACATTAATTATAGATGGAGATAGCATTTACAAAAATGACAAGTACAAAGAACAATTCATATTATAATTTGTAACCAATCAATTTCTTATTATGAAAGTTATAAAGTTATTTTTTAATAAAACCTCCTATATCTATGATTACTTAAAACAATTTATTCTACTAGAATAAAAAAACATTAAAGCTCTCTTTCATTTACAAATATTTTAGGTCGGTTTTAGGCCTAGAGATGACTGTTAAACAATGGTTTCACCTTTAAAACTGTACATATGGGTAACAATCGTGGTTTGTTAAGGTTTTTGTGAAGATGATGCAATGTTGATCAACATATGTGGTGTGAATTAAGACTTTGTATGTAGAAGAAAAATAAGAAATACAGCGAATGGATGATTATCTGTATAATATTATATATTATCTCTATAATATGATTAACATTTAAAGTTGCCAACAAAACTCTTATAACCTCAAATCGATTTATAACATGCCTTTTATTGTACATTGTAAAACCAACAATAATACCTCTGATAAAGCCATTGCTGCTTATCCACAGAAAGCTAGGAAATTATTAAAAGAAAATTCGTGAGTACATACGTATATTAAAATGATCAAATTTAGATTTTTTAATACAACTTACCAATGTTTTTGTTTGGCTTACAAGGAGAGAATAATACAAGTGAAACGATAATCCCAAGATTGTCGTTTACTATTGTTAAAACAAGAGTTTTAGTTAAGAAAATTGTAATCGTAAACGTATACAATGGCAGATTTCGCACATTGAAATTGAAAATTTCAAAAGAAAGCAAAAATGACTTTGACTTTGACAATGACAACTGATGACATTTTGACAACCTTATTTTTTTAATTTCATGGCCGAGTTCTAAGACCTTAAGTCAACTAATTATAATCGTTTACTATTTTTTTTATTTTCAACAACTTTTCATACTTAAGCACAACCATACATCCCTACTGTACCTTTTACTTGAGGTTTACACTGTCGTATAGTATTAAAAAAATATAACAAAACCATAAAACCATCTCACAACCTTCTTGAACAAAATGAGTTAATGATAAGGTACTTAGTTTATTATTATTTTTGTCCAGCGATAACAAGTTTAACTTTATTCGTTCGCTATAGTCAACATGTCAGGATATCAATTTAGTTCGAGACGGATTGAACCTAAACAAGTGTTAAAATGTACCGCAAAATTTTAATTTTATAATTCACAAGTCCAATGAAAGCATTTGTAATGTTTTAAATTTTAAAGTACCTGTAAATATAAACACTGAGACTTTATCGCTGAACAATGATTTTTACTTAGTACATTTTGTATAGTTATATTTTGTTTGCGATTTTAATCTTACCATTCATACTTGATTGATACTTGCATACAATGGGTTCAACATGGTTTGAACAGTTCTGAAATTGATGTAAAAATTCAAAAAATTAAAAACAAGGAAAGACGGTTTCTCTTTCCCATTACTAAGCAAGTACGGAAATAACATCGATAGAGGATGCCAGTAAGAAGGAAGTGAATACAAATAGACCCACTATCAGCCAAACGCATACAATGCAATGCAAAAAAAAACTATTTTAAAAAGAGTGACGAAATATAAAGAAAAATATTATTCAATACACACGTTAGAAGACATGTGCGATTTCTTCACTTTATCAAGTTTGACCTTGACATACAAAGGTAAACATTATGCTTTCGCAAGGTCTTAAAGTTCAATATTCAATCTATTGATTACCTCTAAATTTAATGGGTAAGAAATAAATACAAATTTTGTTTTGAAATAAATTTAATATTCTGTAAACGAAATATTGGAATAAAATATTCTAAAATGTTTCACAACTAACAAAAGCTCAACTAATCGAAAATCTTATTGCAGGTGAACAATTACGAAATATTATGACACAAATATGCAAAATCTAAAATATCACCTCAAACTTTACAACATATTACCTTGGAATTGATATTCCGATTACAATTTAAATTGATTTGATGTTTTACGTTTACATTTTTAAATAATACTGCAGAATTCAAATATATTTCATCTTCATCTCGCAGTTGGATACATTTAATGAAATAGATAATCAGTAAAATCATAAATAAATGCGTATATGGCGTAGAATCTAACAAATTAAATAACCAAGTAAATACCATTATTCATACAATTTGTATTACAAAATATGAATCTTAGCCTTCTTTGCATTTACCTTAAAAAAATGGTGAACTTCAATAGTAGATTTATTGCATTTCTTTATATATTTCCATATATCAAAGCCCCATGATTTGGAGTTGTTGCGAAAACGTACGACTCTGCGCTCTTTTTGTCCAATTTGCAATATTTTACATAAAACTCGTCTTTTAATAATTCTATGTACTGTTCAACTTTTTCCTTTGGACAAAGAGCGACAATACACCCTCCCCAACCTGCGCCCGTCAGTCGAGAATTGATATCGAATTTTTTAGATATATTAACAAGATGGTCTAAGTTTTGATGGGAACATTCATACAAGGTTTTTAAACTCTCATGGCTTTCAGACATCAGTCTTCCAAGTGCTAGCAATACTTCTGAATTATTAGAATTAATATGACCATTTCCCGACCCATTCGTGGCCCCGTTCATGGTATTGTGTCCCAATTCAGACTGTGAACATATTTTACGAAATTCTTCAACTCTCTGAGCTTCTTGGTAAACGTGAAGAGCTCGTTGCTTAAGTTTGAATTCGGTTAAATGCTTCGTATTGCTAGTTAAGAATAATTCATCAATTTCTTCTTCCTTCATAGTTAGGATGTCACAGACTTCCTTTTTCGTATATATTTCTTGAGGTAGATACTTCAGGACTAGTTCTATCATCTCTTCCAAGTTATTATTAAGGTTTCTTTGAAGCTGACTAAGGGTTAAAATTTTCCCTTCACAAGTTAAGCCGGATAACTTGGATATAATTTTAGCTGCTAATCTGCATTCTATTACGCGTCTATTAAAATCATTAGTTGCAGCTTTGTTAGCTTCAGCTAAACTATGAGCTACAACAAATGCGGCGTCTTCTGGTAATGCGACTGGTGTTGCGTTCAATGGTTGAAAAGTAATGTATTGAGCGCTATATTTCTTTGCGAGAAATGCAATAGCTTGATCCATGCCTCCGCCTTGTGTTCCTATGTACCGTTCACTTTTGGCGCACAATGAAGCAATTTCAGTCTTATCCAGCGTACCATTTTGAGCGTACAGAAACGCTAAACAAGCTGCACTCACAAGCGCCGAAGAACTAGATAAGCCTGACGCGGGAGGAATATTACCGTCAACGTAAAGCTGAAGACCTTTCCATTCGCTACTTTTCAAGTGTTCCATCGCTCCTTTAATTCCACATAAAATGTAATTATACCAAAAAGGTTTTCCATTCAAATCTGGTTCGATATCAAGTTCTTGCGTATTTATTTTTATATCAACACTTTTATATTTATTGTCTGCGTTCCGTAAGGATAGTTTTGGCTCGTCTATAATATTTGCTGCCATCAATATATCCTGTTCCAGAGCCATAGGCAACACCGGATATCCACAGTAGTCAATATGTTCCCCGATAATATTAACACGCCCCGGCACACGGACGTAATAATAAGGTTTGCTGCCAAAATCATTATAAAATTGTTCACTTAATTTTAATATTCTTTCATTACCAGGAATGTTTAAAATAGGCACATTATTGACGTTGTCGCCCATTATGACAAATATGTAAACAAAACACACAACACCGCACTGTATCACAGCAAACTTGTTACTGAAATGTCTCGTTATCAGTACTGGAACTCAGCAATATAATCCATTTCGTTCATTGTAATATGCGACCGACTACGTGTAATCTTAACAAGTTAAATTGCCTGAATGTGTCGACTGTTTATTTTTCATTATTTAATAATACGTTGAAGCAGTTTTAAAGCAAATATAAGTTTTCATAATATTTACGAAACATGACTATTGTAATATTATAACTAAAACGCGAAAAAATACGTACCTAACATTGTAAACATAACCTATAACTAACTAATGCTATGCATTGAAACATCCACGAAGCGTCTTGCGCCGTCGCACTGACGTCAGCAAGTTAGCATCACATCACAAATACACACTAGTTAAAATGCAACGGGAAGTACAAATGTGTGTTTAACTACTTTGGAAGGTGCAAAAAGAGCAGGTTTAGGTTCAAACAATCAGATAAAGCCGAATTTTTATTTTAATGGTATTCCTAAATCAGCTTATTAAATATTTTAATAAATATTTCTTCATGGCTTTAATGTTAACTATGTTTATCTTTAATCGTCTTTGTGTTCGGTTCATTTCAATCATTAGAGTTCGAAATTTTGAACATTCCTAAGTACGTACTTAACGTACAAAGTAATTTCTGATGTTGATAACTATGATAAATGTTACAAAATACTTTAGATAACAATTCAGCCATTACAGGTGTTAACAGTATTATCAACATAATTTAAAGTTTTTACCTACTTATATGAAATAATATAGGACACATATATTAATGGGACTAAGCAATGCCAGGTTTACATTTGGCCAATACAGTTGGACAGTTGCGATCGCCATTCATAAAAAGTACGAACTCTCTGGCGCCATTTAGTGTTTACACTATTTCTGCCAGTTGATTCCAGTCCCGTTATTGAGCGCTACTGACCAACTGTACTATCCGAGTGTAAACCGGGAATAAGCTGAAGTTAGTTTTGTTGTACCTATTGCATGTTTTCACCATGTAGTGAGATATGTAAGTGCTAGACTTAGACTTAGGAAGAACAAAGCTAAGTACACAAGACTATGCGGTACCACGACGAAATCCCATCTGAAAAAAATACGATCAACTGAAATTAACTATTTACTTATCGTTTACGTTTATAGAGTTAAGTACCACTTATTCTTGACCTACAAGATAAAGTGCCTCGGTATTCAAAATATAAGGGTTAACAATTATGTCAGGGATAACGCTCCCTAATACGTCTTGCATAAAGCATTCATGACTGCTTTATCTATGTTGGTGTCGATTGAACGCATATACAAAAAGTTTTTGAGTATCATGGAGTCATTAAAAGGAGTCATTTAAAGGAGAATCTTTGGGGACACCTTTGTTGTTTTACTTTTGTTTCAATTATATTTTATCTGGACGCACGTCGTATGGTCTGGTGTAATATTTATGTTCTGTAGCAAGTTGTCAGGCTTAAATTGTCACTTTGTTATCATTTTATTTATGTCATTTCATTTTGCTTATTTACCATTTTTGTACCGTCTATTTACTATAACATCTTTATTATTATATTTATCAATTAAATATGGCCGTCAAACAAATTATGCTTTAGAAAGATTAATTTAAAATAATATAAAACATACTTGATTAAGTCCTCAATGAACAATGGAAACCACTTTGGATTTTACCAAAATTTGTCGTGCATGTCTATCAGATACAGGCCCTTTAAAGGAATTATTCATCGTTAGTACCGCTGAAGTGTTTAAGTACTGTACATCCGTAGAGGTACGAAAAATATGAGGTTAAATAAATAATACGTAAATGAAATAACAATAGTTTTACAAAATTAAAACTTATATCACCTCCTGATTTTGTTATGTTTTTTTTCCAGATTTCTGAACATGAAAATCTCCCAAAGTTAATTTGTGAAACATGTTTAGATTTGTTAAACAAATTCTATTATTTCAAGCAAGTTGTTGTCCGCTCAAATACTATATTGAAACAACAGTATTATGGACAAACTACCGAGGTACAATAAAGAAAATCATATATTTAAATTTATAATAGTAAAAATATTAGCCTATTGATTGATTATTAATTAGAATTAATATTTTTTAGGGTGTAAAACATGATCAATGCAACAGTGAAAGAAATGAATTATTAGTTTCTGTAATAGAGCTAAATGATGCACAAATACATGAGAACATGAATAATGAACCGGAACAACCAAAAGTTAGGTATGTTTATCGAACCAAAGTTTAAAAATGTTAAATAAACTTTGACAAATCATGCTTGTGAATTTCATAATGTTTTTGATAAACCAAATAAAATTATCTATCTTTATTATAAAATAACACTTCAATTTATCGTGGGCCTAGTTTTATCTGACGGCATGCATGATATAACTGAAAAAATTAAATAACATAAATAATGTAGATGTTCAGTTGTAATTAAATGTTAATTAAAAGTATTTTAATAATTAACACTTAGTTATTAAGGTAATAAAGGTTTTTTACCAAAAATTTACAAGAAATATAGTTTTATTTTTAATAGAAATCTATTAAAACTGTCTGGATGTATTTTAGAAGACGAAGAAGAGCTGTAACACAGTACACAGTGAAGGCTCTTACTGGAAAAGAACGAATGAAGTGCATGAAATGTGGGAAAAACTTTCAGAAATATGAGAACTTTGAAGCTCACATGCGCAGTCATTTTGGTAAAAAAGTGAGTTATTATTAGGAGATTTACAAAGGAACGTAATTATACTTAAAGTAAGAACAGTATGGTATAGTGGATATTGTCACACATAATTACAAACTAGAAATCGTTCTACCATCTATTAACACATTTTCTGTCTGAATGCAATAGTCTGCAATATTAAAAAAAAATGTTTTTTGTCACAAGTGTTTAGCAATCATTTGTTAGGAAATATTTATATGGCTAAATATCTACTATACAATAATCTTCATATTTATATTTTTAAGCCCGATATCAAGTGCAAATACTGTGACAAGACATTCCTGAGCCTTCGAAATCTGAACAGTCACATCCGAGTGCATACCGCAGGCCGCAAGTATCAATGTAGCACCTGCAATAAGTGTTTTGCTTACCTCAGCGTGCTCAAGAACCATGAACTTATTCACTCCGGAATTAAAAGACATATGTGCCATTTGTGCGATGCCAAGTTTGTACAGGCTTATAATCTTAAGGTGTGTTATAGTTTTTATTTTATTTATTATCATAATTGCTAAAAAAAAATAATGTTGGATTGATTTACTTGAAAACTGTAAATCAAAAACAAAATGCTTCTACAAATAGTTGTAATTTCCTTAATTTTTAATATCTCAATCTCAGTGAAAATTTGGCACAGATATAGAACATAGTCTGGTAGAATACAGGAAGATTTTATAATTTAAGCTTGAACGGAATCATGGTCAAAAGCTTATAAATTAATTTAAGTAAGACATTTTAAAAAACTTCAGATGCACATAGAAACGCATAGCAGTGAGAAGAATTATGGTTGTTCTCAGTGTGGTAAGAAGTTCTCGCAGCCCGGCAATCTGAAGATACATCTTATACGTCACACCGGTATCAAGAACTTCGCCTGTAATATGTGCAATATGAGGTTTTATATTAAGGTATAATTTTACTTGTACTCTTTATTAAAATGTAGAAATTTTTGTATTTCATTGTACAAGCTAGGATTTGGTTTACAATAGTCTAGTAATGGAACTCGAAACTTCGATCACATGATTGGATGTCCATACTTTTAACCATCAGGCTATTGGCACTTAAATTATGTATGACTAACAATTCATATAGTTTTAATAAGTAATTTTAATTGTAACTTAATGGGGTCATTAACCTTTAGTATTGTATGTTTCAAGATGTTTTTTGTCAAATATGTAGAAACGTCATCTTGTGTATAAAAATCGTAATTTTATAACACTTTAGATAATTAAGTTGATTCCAAATTTTTCAGGCAGATCTAGTAAAGCACATGCGCTCTCATTCTACAGACAAACCGTTCTCCTGTCAACTCTGTGATAAGACATTTAAAAGCAGGAGTTTTCAAGCTATTCATATGAGAACACACACTGGTAAGAATGTTGAAATTTCATTGTTCAGGGATATAAATAGAAATCAACATTATTCATTACAACATTTATGTTCTAATTAACTTCTAGTTTACATTTTATTGTACACATAAATGTTTAACTCATTTTTTTGGAAATTTCATATTTATTATGGTAAATAAGGACTTTGTTGGACATTAAAATGTGATAAAAAAAGCTAGTATTTATAAAGTTTGTGTCTTTTTTATTTTTTTAGGCGAGCGTCCTTATGCTTGTGATCTTTGTCCAAAGAAGTTTATGGCTCGTAAAGATCTAAGAAATCATCGGATGATCCATACCGGTGAGAAACCTCACAAATGTCAGCTCTGCAGTCAAGCTTTTATACAGAAGTGTGCTTTGAACAGACATATGAAAGGTCATGGTAAGCTCTCCGAGGACACACACAATCTAATACCCGGGAATCAAATGCAATTATTACTCAATGGCCCAAAAGCACTCTCATATAGAAACTGGAATGGGGAACCTTGATACTAAGTATCAATCAGAAAGTTTGGGAACATTTAGGGCCTGTCCCACCACTGGCTGATAGAGGCTCAGATTGCTTAAAAATGACGTCACTGTCAGGGAACAAAATCCGATATTTCTATCACATATTTTACACGTTGGATTGTTATCAGACGATTTACAATTTGATGGGACAGGTCCTTATACTAATATAATAAAGTTCTTTATGTAGGATATCAGCAATCACAGTATGTTTTTGGATAATTCTTTTTTAAATAATAATCCCTACATATACGATATGCTATAGGCTACATATTTTCAAGCCGATAAACTTATGGTCTGACAAAATTGAAAAAAATTACTTTGCGAGAAGGACACAACTACAAGCCAATCAGCAAAGACACAAGGTTACTTAAATTTTCAGCCAATGGCAAGAGCCTTTGTTGTCATTTGACATTTAATTTAAAACAGTACGGTACAGCTAGTTTACATATGAATGCAAGAATTGTAAAAACTTTATTTTTTGTGTTTGCATGGTTTCGGTCAAATCGTTGTTTTGCATACAATTATTTCACAAGTAACAAAATCCTGCTATAGATTCAAAAAAATCTGACCGAAACCATTGAATCACACTAAAGTGAAGCATGGGTAGTTATAAATTACAGTGCAAATTTGCAGTATTATGTTTATAAGTATTATAGTATTTTTCCGTTTGGATAATAGTAAATATTTTCTCGAAGGTATTAGTTTAATATAAACATTAAAAGAATTAAGTACAAGGTTTACTAATTATGCCAATCTGAGTACATTTCTAATCTTGAAAAATTACAGAAAATATAATTAGAAGTGTTTTTTTTTTCTAGTTTATAAACTAACATTTTTTATATCGGACAAAAAAGCGTGTAACGCATATAAAAAAATCAATCAGTCAATTTTTATGGATCGTGATATGAAAAGGAAAATCAGCTTTAAGTTTTAATAAAAAGGGTAATTAAAGTACGAATTTGTTTTATTTCAATCTTTCTAGACCTCTGAAACCCTTCAGGATCAATTTTATTTATTTAATACTTTACATATTTCAAACAGTATCGTTAATGCTTGAATCACTAACAGTTGATTTATATAACCCATAAATTAGCTGTGGGTAGTTGGCAATTTTTCATGTATCTTCATATGCCTCGTCATAGTACCCCGTTGGGTAAAAGTCTTTTCACACACTTCGCATTTATATGGCTTTTCACCAGTATGTATTCTATTATGTTCATTTAGTCTTACTTTAGTTGAAAATCTTTTCGGACAATGGTTACATGAAAATGGTCTCTCACCGGAATGTACTCTTTTGTGCTCAATTAAAGCATAATTCCTTGCAAAAGATTTCTCACATATATCGCATTTTAATTTTTTCAAACCTTGATGTAAGTTAATGTGCCTTATTAAAATGTGCTTATCCTTGAATGGACGTGAACACAAGTGGCATATTACTGTTTTTTTCTCTTTGTGGCGATTCGATATATGAGATCGTAAGTTTAACACTGTAAAGAATTTCTTACCACACTCTTTACATTCATACTTTTGAACTTTGTTTTCGTTATGGTTTTCCAAATGATTCTGTGAAATATTATAATGTCAATAAAAGACAAGGATTACATTACTTTCAAAAACACTTAAATAACTAAAATATTATACAGAGCAAAGATTTGTATTTTATTTGTATTTTAAAAACTTAATAACTACTGGGCAAAGTTTAAAAACCTTAGAACAGTAATTTATATGTGAGTAACATAGGCTATGTTTTTTTTTAATTAACGCGGGCGAAATGTCAATTGATTTTTACCTTTAAACCACTAGTAGTGATGAATTTCTTGCCGCAAACATCACATATTAATGGATTACGTTCTTTATGCTTTTGCATATGGTTGGTCAGTGCGCTTCGCGTGAGAAATGTGTTCCCGCACTCACGGCACTGGATGCTGATGGGGGCACGCGAGTGCCTAGCTTTGTGCCTCCACAGACCACTCCATGTGTCAAACTTCTTACCACATATACTACAAAGTATTGTTGCCTGAAATTAATTTGAACATATTTATTTTTGCACCAGGAAAACAATGTTTTAGATATCAAGATATTGCTCGACCAAAATATGCATTATTGTTCTGTTGGTAAGACAATGAAAACACAATTTGGTCAAATTGATAGTTGTTTAGATTTCCAAATACAATTTCAATATGTAAAATTCACATGTGAACCATAATATAAAATTGTTACATACTTCTTTACCCTCATGTTCCAATTTGTGTGCTTCTAAACGTTCGGGAAAACAGAAATTTCTCTTGCAAAGTTTACAGCCAAAAAGGTGTGGCCTTTTATATCTTTTAGGCAGTTTTATTTTTGGTGCAGTACTTTTTATCGAATTTTTAGATGATATCTTTTGATCTCTGTAAATGTAAAAATATTAAAACATGTCCCATGTATAATCTAACATTAAACATTTAGATTTATACTTTGTAGAAATTTTCTTCTTTCTTTTTTTCATAGGATTAAGTAATTCTGTAATATCATTTTCTGCATCACAATTATCAAAATCATCTGGAAAAATGAAACAATCTATTAAAATAATAATACACAATTTGATTAGATTGAAAATTGAATCTTGTGTAATATTGATGTTTTAAGTTTGGTTGAAAGTACCATTTTTGAATTCATCCACAATTTCCTCCTTAATTGTATCTTCAATTTCATCATCATGATCGTCATTTACTTGTATATCTGTGACTATTTCACTATATTTTGTTAATTCATTATTTTCTGTTTTTACATTGCTTTTACATTCCAGTAGAGTATTTTGGGAATTGATGCAAGTTTGTTTAAAGTTGAAAAACTCTGTAAGAAGATCGTAGCAGCTATCGCATATTGTTTTAGGTAAATTTTCAGTTTGGAACACCTATAAAAATATTAACTGTATTTTTAAAGGTAATTGATATTAAGATAGGTTATAAATATAAGCATTTTGGTGTACATAATTGTCTATTTGGTAATATACTAATTTTAAACGTTAACTTTGTTACTTTCACATAAAATAAACAACAATTCTTACTTCAATTGATGTGCAAAACGCATATACGTCCGGTGGAACATTATCAAATAAAACATATTTAAAATGTTCTTTGGTATTTAAACATGCACGGCATATTTTATCAAAACATGTCATACTGCTAACTTATTTTTTTATAATAATCTTTCTAGTATTTAACTTTACTTCATCTTAAAAAACACAAACATTGGTGTTTTTATAGTGCTCAAAACTTTTTTGTCAGCTCAGCTGTCAGTTTATGACCATAGAACACATTCACTTTTGTGGCTGTATTAGACAAAGAGTAAGTAACATTCCTAGTGAAAAAAATAAGTATAACCGATTTTCAGTCAGATTTAAATTAAATTATAACACACCATAATTCATTTAAAAATGTTCCGTTTGTCGGTAAGTTTTTCAAAGACATTTACATCGTTATCCAACGGGGTTTCAAGCTTTCTCATGTATCAGGTAAACGAATATGATTTTTAATAAGGCGGAACTAAGGTACAAATAAAACTCCATTAACAAAAGAAATACAAAATATATTATAGAATTTGTATAAAATCTCATAAAATTTCATTATGGAATGTTCCGGTATCCATTACCATCACCAAAAAGCATAAAATCTTTATTTCAATATACTTCCGTTTATATATTTTTGTTATTTACAATAACATTTTACTTATTAACTAAAAATAGTAAAATTTACACGATATAACTTGAATTTGTTATCACTTCTTATCATAATAAGTAGCTTCAATTATATAAATCTGTTTTTATTATTGTCTCTAATAAACAGAATACAGTTCTGAATAAATGAGCACGTTTGTTCCTTTCCTGCGCGTTACATTATTATAAACATTAGAAATTGTGACAAATATACTATAATCATGGTTAATTAAGTTATTGAGCCTTAATAAAAAATATCAAGATACGTTGTTCATAGTTTCCCTTGCATAAATGGTTTGAGATATTTATGAAAGCTTTGGTTTACCGGTTCTTTATTAAGTGGACTTTTCATAGCTTCCTCCATCAGTCTCTCGTACGCGCGGCCATCGTATGCACCAAGAGCCGAACGGAGAATCTGTATGAATTTACATATTTACAAAAAATGAATATAATTAGATATATTATAAAAGCAGTATAATTAAATCTATATTAATTTCATAAAGGGGAAAGTTTTAAATTCTTGTATTGAAGTAACTCAATAACTACTTAATAAATTTCAGAAATTTTCACCATTAAAAAAGCTATGTTGTCAAAGAGTAACATAGGTCATACTTTTTTTTTATTTCCACGCTTATATAAGACTGAGTTTGCGATATTAGTGACATTTTAACAAGTAATTTATCCGTTTTTAATTTAATTTTCTATGTCATTTTGTTATATTACCTCATCTCTGATATCAAAAGCGTCCACTAAGCCCACAGCGTCAGGTCGGAGTTTCACCAACAAATCTTCATACCAGTTTTGTAACTCTTCGATATTGCGTTCCGATATCGATGTGAACTGGCAAAGGAAAATATTACATTACTAAATAATAGTTTAAAATTAAAAACATCACTGTGATGGTATTTGATTTTCAAAGATTAATAATAATTCTAAAGTTTTATTTTCCTGTAATAGCATTCTATACAAATAGGTTTGATACTATATTTTTTTTGTAAAAAATATTAGAAAAGGAAGGTATTGGCTCCGTAAGCATAGGTTTTACTAGTTTTAAGGCGATATTGTTGCTGTAACAGAGCATACAATAAAGATTTATTAGTTATTAAAAAAGTCATTAATCTTTAGTAAATCATTAATTCGGAATTATGTTTTGAGGGGTTTCTTTGATAAAAGTGATTTTTTAATAGTGTAATAAATAAATATACTTACTCTGAGCAGATCGCCGACGCACTGCAGCGCCCAGTACACGACGTACAGTTCAACAAGCTGTGTTAATACGCGGCGGAGAGGGGCGGAGGCCGAGCGCGACAATTTCTCACTCTCCGAGTAATAACTCGACAGAATAAACGCGCGGCAATGTGCCTGTCAAATAATATATTTTTTAATGTATAAGGTAGCAAACGCCACCTGAATCCGCCAAAATGGCGAAGCGACCGCCACCTAGACATGTAATTACAGATGCGACCTTTTATAGATAGAGAAGACATTAAGAAGATATTTCGTTTGCGTTATCTCTACCGTTACATCAGCTTTTCTTCCTATCCTTTTCTTACCAGAAAAGGGACAAGAAGGAAAGGGACTAAAACTATTCCTCTAGCACACTGGATTATTCCCAAACGTCTCCCCGCTCTGTCCCCACGTGGGAACAGATGAGAATAAAAAGTGGAACTAATTTTATTTCGTAACGGTTCCATCTGTCACCTTATTAGTGATAGTGGGACCAAAAGGTGAGACAGATAAAACTTTTTATTCTCAAGTGGGGATAGAGGATACGAGGGGACAGACAGAATAATCCCGCGGAATTACTCATTTCAAGCGTGTCTTGTGTGGTCAATGTATTGACGGGCGACCGGCCTTAGAGTCCAAAGATGTTAAAATGGGCTCTACCACTGTTAAAAGTGTGTTTTAAGTGTTGTTTATTTTTATAAAAAAAAAAGAATTATCATTTTTTTTACGTTAGTGCAATTTAATAAAGTATAACCTCTGAGGCGGCTGTGAGCTGAACAGAGGTCATATTCCAAGCGTCCTCGTACGACATTCCGCTTGCTTGTCGTTTCTCGATTTGCGCCACGCATAGACCTATTTTCCTATCGAAAAAACACACGTAAGACATTCGGAAAATGATAAATTGCACGGTTATAAAGTGACGTGTTACCCTGCGGCGAGGGTCTGGAAGCCGCTGATGATGCCGAGCAGCGAGTTGTCCCAGGGCGGCGAGCGGCGGCCGGCGCTCACGGCGCCCACGTACGCCACGGTGGGCGGCAGCGCGTGCGCCGCCGTGCGCCACGCCTTCACTAGGTACCTGACACGAACTCTCACAATATGCACATTTTTACACTTTTAACATAGACATAAAATCATCTTTATTTTTCCGACTTTAACCTTGTTTCGTAAAGTCGGCACTAAGTTTTCGATAGTAATAACAAAAGTTTCAACAATTTATGTTATCATCAGAAAACATGACTGAAAGCAATAAGAAATCAACGTAACGAATTTTAATTTTAAATGAACATCTAACTTATATCATCATCTTTCTACTCCGTCTGCACGGAATTATGTGTTGTAGACATTTTCTACATCTGTACCAAACTTCAATGAGATCCGTTGATCCGTAAGAAACATCTTAAACTTTCACATATAGTGTTGGCGATGCAATAATCCTTTTCATATTTTTATTTTTAATCCTTTTTTTAAAATAAGAATGTTTATTTTTTTATTTATTCTTTTGTAAATATTTGAAGTATTGTTCGAACAGATGTCACACAGAACGCTAGGCTGAAATGTATATATTTTTATTAATTTGTAAATTTTGTTAAAAGTTGTTTTTGGTTTATTTCTTATTTATTTTACTCGCGCGTACCTTCCCGTACGAGATCGTCTCTTTCATATAGTAAGATATAGTAAAATCAAAACAATTGAAAAAAAAAATCGAATAAGTCAAATTATATCATAAACAGAGAAAGAGAGAGATATATGGATTGCGTGAAAGGTGACATGATCAAAAAGGGATTGATGACTGCGATGACGTATGATAATTATGTGGACAAAAACTTGTAGCGTCGACCCTATGGGAGTAAAATAAGGAAACACAAACATAGTGTAGAAATGTAGTTCACCTAGCAGTCTGCAGTAACATGACCGTATTCTCCCCCTCGTATGTGCAGGCGGCAGTGACGAGGCCGTAGGTGAGCGGCAGGTTGGAGGAGAGCATGTAGCCGTGGCCGCCGCAGGCGAGGCGGCAGCGCTCCACGCACGCCGCCGCGTCGCTCGTCGTGATCGCCTTCAGGCAACACGACAGCGCGTGCAACTGCACATAGCCAAAATCCTCATATACATTGTTTTAGCTTGCTAACATTGTAAATGATTTAAGTAATCAATTCTTCGATTCTCCGACACCCTAGACACTAATATTGCATCTATTTTAAAGATTTTTTACTATTTTTAATACTGTTGACTTTTCTCTTTGTTCATGTTCTCTTAGGGATTATCATACTATCATTTAAATTGTTTTCCCATTACTAATATACTGTTACTGTATTCTAATACTATTGTTTTCCCGTTTAATAAAAGAAAAAAATATCAACACTTCACTTTACATCTACTATGGTAAGCTAGCATTAAGAGCTTAGCCTAAGATTAAGTGCTATAAAAAATGCTATAAAAAATTTGTCAACCACGCTGGTCGAATGCATGTCAGTTCACTTCTGAAATTAGTTGTTTTTTTATTTTAATATCATCATTTTTCATCAACAGTGATAACCGTTAAAAAATAATTTAAAACATATAACATTTTGTGGGCTAGTTTCTATTGATAATCCCTTAAAGTCTGTTTTTATTTAAGGAAATTTTTAACGGAACTTGTATCTAATCAAGGTGGGTTTCAGCATTACCGGCATCCTTTAACTGTAATACAAATACATAAGAAAAAAGTTAATAAAAACAAAAATTTTAAGATGCGTCAATATTCGCATGTCAACATTAAACCTTTCGAACGAATCATGAATTGATCGCGAAATATACATTTAGTAGAAGTAATGAACACTAAATTGCTGAGTAATAAGGGAGAAGGCAGGCAGCAGAAGTGCATACTTCAGGCAGCCTCTCCATGTCGCCGGTCTCGAGCTCCGCGGTGACGTTGTTGTACATGTCCCAGAGGCCGGCGGCGCAGAGGCGGAAGGCGTGCACGCTGGCCACGCCGATCAGCAGCTTGTGCTGCTGCGTCACGTACTCCAGGATCTGAGGCTCCGGCTCGCTATAGCATATATTTCCTATACTACTTTTCCGATGAAAAAACGCTAATTGAGGACCAAAATATAGTTCAAGATCACATCGTAACAAGTTTGATAAAATTATTAACGACTAGCTGTTGCTCGCGACTTCGTCTGCTTGAAATTAAAAATAATAAAAATATATGTTATTCGTTGATAACGTAGCTTTTTAATTGTAAAAGAGTTTTTGAAATCGGCCAAGTAGTTTTTGAGTTATTTCAATACATACAAAAATAGAAATCTTTCCTCTTTATAAAATTGGTTTGGAGGCCTAATTTTAATTCCTTTTCCTTTTCTTAAGAGGAAAGGATGTAAAGGAAAACTGGATTTGACGGTGGAGGAGACGCATAAGAAGGAGAAATATCTCTTCATGTTCGTCTCCAGTTTAGTCAAACGGAATATTAAAAAATCCCTTAATATTACCTAACACATCTAAAGTAAGGGAATAAAAGCTCTATCACTATGCCTATAAGGTTTAGTTTGGCGTCTTACTCGGGCCGGAGCTGCGACTGGCGGCGCACGGCGGAGTATCTGGTGGCGATGGTGACGGCCTTGGCCATGTAGTTGCACATGTCGTGTACCAACATCACGCGCACAAACATCATGGTGCCGTACGTTAGCTTGGAGCTCGGCGACTTCACGTACGTACCGTCCTGTTTTAAATTATAAAACTCTGTATCTATTTGGTTTTTATTTTTTTCAAGCAAATATGTTGAATTTGTATGAGCTTTTCTGTTTTAGATGTTGTTAAGATAAAAAAAAAAGAAATACAGACGAATTGAGTAGCTCCGTCTTTTGGGAAGTCGGTCAAAAAGGAAGTTTAGTTAGACTAGTTTAGTACAATATTGTTACGGAGACCTAATTAAGTCTTTGTTTATTAGAATTTACTTCTAACATATAATTGTTAGCTGGCGGTTGCATTCATAGCACACATAGTAATTTAGTTAGTTATTACATAAAAAAATCAATTGAAAAGGTAAAGACAAACAGGCGTTAAAAAAAGTGATGTTACATGTCGATATTTTGGTTTTGAAATACATGATAATCATAGTGTATATAACTGAAGGGCTGCAGTTTTGATGTACTAATTAGTAATGTTATCATATCGGTTTTATCATTAAATCCAACCTCGCTACATATTTACTTATCTCTATCACCCGGATATCAATACATAGAGTAAATATTTATTGAAAAAAACATGACAGATCTTACTCTTGTCCATTTAAAAGATTTTACGTTAAATAAAAAATGTAGGTAATAACAAGGCTTCGATTCTATTTAATTACTTCGCTTGGGTTTTCATTAACAAAATGAACTATTCTACGTTATTATTGGCACAGTGTAAATCCCTTTATATTTGTTGATAGAACTGAAATATTTATGTTCAACTAGCTTTTGCCCGCGACTCCGTCCGCGAGGAATTAAAAAAAACTTAGTAGCCTGTGTTCTTCTAGACTGTACTCTACATCTAATCCAAATTTTAACAAGATCCGTTCAGTCGTTTAGGTTACAAACTCTAACAAACATCCATCTATCCATCTAAACTTTTGCATTTATAATATTATAACAAGAAATAAGATAACCGGCAAAAGGTTACCGGGCTAATTTAATTGTATATTGATGCTGACTCTATATTTTTTTATAATTACTAGCATCTACGAATATTTCCTAGTATTTAAATCGTAAATACAAGATTGTAATGATTAATTATTATAATTATCTAATAACAATGCAAAAGAAGTTTACACCGTTTTACTTGAATGTATAATTAACTATGATGATTACTGAACTGTTATTACTACGCTGAATATTTTAATAAGTATAGGATATAATAATATAGCTTTATACTAAACACCTGCTCACAATATGTCTTTTTTAATAACTGTTATATGTCGAAATATGCTACGCGCTAGTAAAGCGCCTATATTCAACCTGACCTTAACTTGCATAAGTGATAATTACTGGCATGGATTGCATACTGGCATGCCAGTTTCGTATACAAATTACTATAAGTACATACCAGAAAGTGTGAACTACTGGCATGGGATTTCCCGCCTATAAATATTATCACGAGCTATTGCTTGCGACTTCGTCCACGTGAAATTTAAAAAAGTTAAAAGTAGCCTATTTTACTCAGCGATTACGTAGCTTTTTAGTGGTCAAAGAATTCTGAAATTGTCCAGTATTTTTTGAGTTATTTCAATAATGCATAATACAAATACCACTTTACAATATTAGATTAGACGGCTTCGACCGCGTGAAATAAAAATAAATATAGCCAATGTTACTCACTGATAACGTAGCTATTTATGGTGAAAGAATTTTGAAATAGGTCCAATAGATTTTTTAATTAAATACATACAAAAACATAGACCTTTCATCTTTATAATATTAGTGCAGGTATAGATTACCAAATGTTCCTCACCTCTAATACTTTAGAATTCTTCATCAGCATATGTTCCCTTGGTATCCTGACGTTGTCGAAGCCGAGGAAGCCATTGTTGGTGCCGTTCATGCCGAGCTTGGCGCCGATCTCGCCGACCTTGATGCCGGCCAGCGGCATGTGCGTCTCCTCGTCCCTCAGCTGCACTATGAAGGGGTGTATGCCGTGGCACTTCCCCTGCGTGAACAGCTGCGCCATCACCACGCAGTAGTTGGCGGTGTGCGCCACTGTTGGGATACATTGATAGATCAAGCTATCGTAATTTTAAGCCCCAATACCAATCATTCTCTTTGAAAAGCAATGACAACAATAACGTTATACATGGAAATGAATACATTGGAAAGTAAGACAATAATTAACAACAAAAACAAAAAAACTACGGTGTAAGACAATAATGGTGCAGACAGAAAATGTAGGAATTTTCGTTGCTATATGTATACTATTATAATAAAGCGTAAACACACACTTCTTTGTTGCCTAAGATGTCAGAAATTACTGCATATTTTTGAATAATTATTTTTATAATAAATAGCCCTACACTTACGTCACGCTTTAGGCTATATATTTTCACGCCATTAAACTTAGGGGGTAAACATTTTGGATACAATCTTAATGTGGGAAGGAGACCATAAGTTGCTGCCAACATCAAGGAAGCAAGATTGTCAAGGTTTGTCATGTCATGTCATTTTGACATTTGCTATTGATAATTTGACACATGTAAACAATAAAATAAAAATTTTCATAATTTTATGCGGCATGGGAACAGCTAGTTACTAATATTACAAATGCGGAAGTTTGGATGGATAGATGTTTGATAGAGTTTGTAACCACAACTGCTTAACGTATCTCGATAAAGTTTGACAGACGTAGAGCATAGTCTGGAAGAACTCATAGCCTACTTTTTTTTTAAATCTACGCGGACGGTCTTAGAGCTAGTAGAGAAGTACAAGGAAAACATCATCGTAAAGTACTGTTGATGATATAACGCATAGAAGTGAATAATTCAATAGATATTTATGTAACCATAGAAACATCTAGAAACTGGCCATCTCATGTCATTGAACTAATCTTTTAATTTCGAAATCGTTTACTCAATCAAAACAAATATTCATTGCACTCGTATATCAGGTCGATAAGATTTTATTTTGATTATGTTAAAACGTAAAGAATCGATAAAAACCGGTAACTCATGCTGAAATACCCGAACGAAAACTATTGTTGTTTCTTTTTAAAGAGAAATAAGGATGCTAAGACGTCTAACGTATATAAGTAGTTTAGATATACTACTAATGTCTAAACGTATTTAGTTAAACACTATACTGTTCAAAGTTCAAACTACAAAGTCTCGGTTTAAAAGTTTCCTATACTTTATTAAACTAAGAGGTAACATTGTCATAATGGTAAGAATGGTTAAGAAAAAAAATGTTAAAATTCAAGACCATTAAATTATATATTCTCCAATTGTATAAAACTCAAAAAAGTTCGTGAGATTAAAGCCAGGTTATTAAATTAATAGCCGATCTTACACTGACATTGAACCGTGAGTTCCGATGCCAGAAATAAAAACCAGAATTCTTAGTCATTCGCTTTGAAAAAGGTTGCAACTTTATTTTAAGTAAGAGTAATCATACTAATATTATAAATGCAAAAGTATAGATGGATGGATGATTGTTTGTTATAGTTTGTAGACTAAATGGCTGAATGGATATCGAAGAAATTTGGCATAGTTGTAGAGGATAGCCTGAAAGAACACATAGGTTACTTACTTTTGTTTTTTTTATTCTACGCGGACGGAGTCGCGGGCGAAATCTAATTAAGAATAATTTTTCACACTATGGATGTTTAATTTTTAATAATTTTAAGCTACTTAAAGAAATCTTATTTTGCTACTGAAACAATGGAATGTTTTTAATGAGAGTTAGTTTGTCAATGTTTTTACAAAGTATATATGCGATATTTTGTCTACAATTTCTTGTGAAATCGTTTTGCCGGAAGTGCAGAATATTTCAATGACAGACATAATTAACCAGCTAACCTGTCGGCAAGGACTAAATACTATTTAAAATGCAAAATCAATGCACCGTGTTTGCTTTTGGTGATTGTCTTTAATGTTGAAACATGTTTATTCAATGAAAATAGAGTCATTTGGTATAAAATTAATAGACTAGTTGAATTAACATGAATGAGTCCAAACTATTTGCTCTACTATTACTGTTAAGGGTATGTTAGAACTAAAGATATTGTAATAGTGACTATTTTTATCATAACCAGTGCCCTAGGCTAGATTTTTATGACACCTTCTAACTGCAATACCCAATACAAACCCATACTAAACAAAAATACATTAGAAGTTATGTTCCTGTGGCGCTCGGCACACTGGGCGGCCGCGCCATCTTGCCTTACGCTAATATCAGTACTGACAATGTTCCTATATATCTTGGCCCTTAATGCTAGTTGCAGTACAAAACGCAATTTTAGGTGTAGCGATTGTAGAGTGCTCATGATTTCTAGCCACCAACATATCTATATCTATACTATTATAACAAAGTGTAAACACACACTTCTTTGTTGCCTTAGATCTCAGCAATTACAGCATATTTTCGAATAGCTCTTTTTTAATAAAAAGCGCTACACTTACGTCACGCTTTAGGCTATATCTTTCAACGCCATAAAACTTAAGGGGTAAATATTTTGCATAAAAACTATAATGTGGGAAAGAGACCATAAGTTGTTGCCAACATTAAGAAGCAAGATTGCCAAGGTTTTTCGTGTCATGTCATTTTAACATTTGCAATTGATAATATGACAAATGTGAACAATAAAATAAAATTTTCATAATTTCATGCGGATGAAGTCGCACGGGAACAGATAGTATGAATATACCCTATAATAACCCTAACCCTTAGATATACTTACGTCCTCCAGGCCACCACTTGTATGCGGTGAGTGTGGGGCTGTGCAGCACGAACTGCTTGGCGGCCGCGTCGTATGTCGCCGTCGTCTCCAGACCGCGGATGAACGTGCCGTGACCTAACTCCGTCTGAAATGTCCTACATTCTAATTTTTCTTTGAATATCACGCGCAACTGATAACCACTTTGTAAGCATATAAATACTTTTGCCATCTGTAAAGTTTTTTTTATATACGAGAGGTGTAGATTTAAACAGTGACAATAGATTCATTTCTACATTGTAATAAGTAGTAGCTGACACTATCCTTGAAAATGTAAAATTAAACACAGGTTAAAAAACTTTTCGGAGTTGGTAAAAAAAAAAATGGAATTATTATTTATTTTTAAAATACCTGTGCATAAGTGCCGATTATGCTGAGATTGAACGCTCTTCCGATCCAGTATGCTTGTTGTTCGACTGTCGCCTGTCCCATGAGGGTGGGTATGAACATCACATAGTGCAGGGTTAGAGGAGAGCCGTCACCCAAGATGGCCGACCCGAGGTTCCCGCCCAAAAGTGCCCTGGCATATGTTGATTACAATTTAAAAAAAAACATCGTCAAATTTCATAACTATATCCATTGTTATGAGGAAATATAAAGATAATCTAAAATCTGATCTAAAAAAATCTTTTACACAACAAAAGTTGTGTTAACTATTTCCTAGGATATTTCTCACAATTATTTTCAATTCAATTCAAATATATGATAATTTAATACAAAATCTTTTGTTTTCGCAGTTTTAGGTTTTTGCTATCATTTATTTTTTTTAAAATATTATTAAGTGGCAAACAAGCAGCAAGATAGTCATCCGCAATAGCAGATGAGTTGCCCACCCTTAATGAATGGATAAGAAGACGCACATAAAGAGGATATCTCTCCTTCCTATGCATCTCCTCTACTGTCAAATCCATGTTCCCCTTCCATCCTATTCTTATGTCAAAACGGGTGGGAAAGAAAAAGGGCAAAAGTTGGGCCTCCGGCACTAAACTCATCAGATGAAATGCGGAATTGCTCCTGCGTTACATCTGTTGTCTGTATGGTCGTGGTATTACACTGGGCGAGCTGTCCCACTCATGAGAAGATGTTAATGTGGGCTTTATCACAGTTTAATGTAAATACTTACATATAATTCTCCATACCAGCATTATCTTCTTCTTGCAGTCTACGCATCATTTTAAACAGCATACATGCTTTTTTAATAGCCAATTCATATTTTTCCTTGTGACTTAGATAATCTGAAGGCACTTCATCAATATGGATTCCTTCTTTGAACACCATCTCCTCTATAAAAAAAAGTTAATTTAACTAAAAGTGCTTTTTTGGAAATAAGGTGATTTCATTTTATTTAAGGTGTACAATTTAATATCATATTAATATATTTTTTAAAACAATACACAATAAATTGTATAAAATGGTGAATATATTATATTTACTGCAATTATTTTTAATTATGATTAGTTATGTGGGATTTATTTTAATTAGGCAGTTTTTGTTATAGATCATAATTTGTTTTATTAAAAAATAAACCTAAATCAAAGACACACTATATTTATCCCTTTCTAACATTGTGTCTGTATATCAAAATAAACATATTTAGGTCTCGTGTGATAAAATAACTGAACTATGAACTTTAGCCCACAAGATTAATAAATCTCTTTGTCCTAGTTTGAAAATAATCGTTTGTCGCCCTTTACAAATGATTATTCTGTAAAACACAATAAATAATGAAAAAATAATAAATGTATTAGAATTTTATTAAAAAAAAATATTAATATCTTGTTGAAGTCAAATTTGTAAGAAATCTATAAAAAATATACAAGTAAAGTTAAAATCACCTCGTTTCTTCCTTTCTTCGGTTTTTTGTGGCCCTCCATCTATGAGGTTTGTAAGCTCTGTAATGTTAAACGTACAATTGTCCCTTTCCTTCTGTAAATCAGGATTCACTTTCACTGACTCCGACATTATGATATACGCGGCACTTAATAACGCAACATAAAAAAATAATTAGAAACGATCAGACAATCGAAGTTGTATCAGAGAATTAAATGTGGTAATTATCTCGATTACGCAGTCACAGCCCGCGACCCGCCAACTCGTCACAATTCTCACAAGTGTTCAAAAGTTCAAACCAACCAACTCGCAACCTCATTATTTTTTTATTGCTCAATGTTTTGATTTATTTGTGCTGTTATCATGGAAAACAGCTGTCACTTTTCGTCAGTCAGTTATTGACAGTGACACACGTCACTTTAGGATGACGTCAAATAGGAAATGACGAAACGAAAAGAACAAAGAGTAGCTGTGGTTTACATTGAAGTTTTCACTAAAATTATATTTCTTTTCAACAATTTTATTTATAAAAGTACAAATGAATTAATGCATGATTTTCAAAATACTTCCATTTGATTTAATTAATACTAAGGTAGGAAGAAATCTGCTATTTTATTAATTTAGTCTGTTAAAGTGCAACACCTCAACTTCAGGACCCGCCATATTTCTTTCCTGTGTGCGTTGTGGAACTCACCGTTTCAAGATGAGGTTAGTTTTAATATATTAAAACATTAAGGGCATAAAATGTGTTCAATTCGTTGAAAACTATTACATTCTATCTTTATTACAAATTTTAGATATAAATCTATGTAGAAAGTGCTAAGTTTTGTCAATTATGGATTGTCAACACAACCAAGTATTGTATGCCATGTGGTCAACGAAATATTTTATTTTTCAGTTCTCTAAAGCTACAGAAGAGGCTAGCAGCCTCTGTTATGCGATGTGGTAAAAAGAAAGTGTGGTTGGATCCAAATGAAATCAATGAGATTGCAAACACCAATTCCCGTAAGTATTGCCGGTACTCGGAAAGTTTCATTTGTGTTTGATTTATTTGTCAATCTCATCGACGGTGCATATAATGTTTGTAAAATTGTCCATAATGTTATTGTTGTCTAGCACGCGTACTACTTATACAAAATATATGTGTATTTTATCAGACTGAAGCTGTACTACTATATACATCACAATGTGAAAGCTAGCCTATTATGGTACGAAAATATGCAAATACTTGTCTCATTATGCATACAACAGAAGTGTATAATTTGCGGTAGTAGATAAGAATCCTCATGAGTAGAAGATATTCCCCTAATTTAGGGGTTACAGAATTGCAGAAAGTACATGTCTCAGTTCTAGTAAATAAACCCTGGAGATAATCTAGATGATGGAAATTTTGTTGGCATAATATTCCAGGACAGAACATCCGTAAGATGATCAAGGATGGTCTCGTCATCAAGAAACCCGTAGCAGTGCACTCGCGCGCGCGCGTCCGCAAGAACACTGAAGCCCGTAGAAAAGGTCGTCACTGTGGTTTTGGTAAAAGAAGAGGTACAGCTAATGCGCGTATGCCTCAAAAAGTAAGTGGAATGATTAAAAAAAATCTTTATTTTCCTATGTAATCTAGGCATGAACCTAACGGAATACTATAGTATCATTTCAAGCAATAGATTAGTATGACATTGTATAATACACAGAAACAATCATTTATACACACTTATGAGATTAAGAACCAAAAAAAAAGATAGCGAAGGTTTGGTTATAAGATGTGGAATGAGTCAATACAATATACATATATACACAATATACATATAACATACAATATACAATGAATTCAATGATTGCCATTTCCCTCATACTTACCCTACTCCTGTAGGGTTGGCCAGCAGATTTTCCTCCTTCAGTTTGATTTACCATTACTTAGACATTTCTTCCTGGATGTCACCTTTTAGACATCCCAACATTTTTCAAAGCCGTAAAGTATTAAGAATTAAATCTTTAATAATAAATATCACTTAATACAGATCACTTCAGTGCTTGTGAATTTTAGTCTAAAATTATAAGTACCACATGCTGTGTAATTGAACCTTTAGAAATGCTGTAGGTATTTTAAAACTTGACATCCGTTTTTGTAGGAACTATGGGTACAAAGACAGAGGGTACTCCGTAAGCTGCTCCTCAAGTACAGAACGGCCAAGAAAATAGACAGGCATCTATACCACGCCCTGTACATGAAGGCGAAGGGTAATGTGTTCAAGAACAAGCGTGTCCTCATGGAGTACATCCACAGGAAGAAGGCAGAGAAGGCCAGGACTAAGATGTTGAGGTATTACCGTTTTTTAATTATAAATAGTGGCAAAAGAGCAAGTGGCCATTTGAATTCATCTGAAAGGTTGACTACTGCCTATGGTTTTAAAAATGTCTTACATCTGTGTATGATTCCATTATTGACTTTTAAACTTACTAAACTAATAAAGGATTTGATGAGCACCTTAGTGTACCCTAGGCTCATTTGTTTCCTTCTTTTATAATGAATGTTTTTTTTTCTAAGAAACAGCAACCAAAAATTTAATTCATGGAAATAGCTCAAGGTTAGATTAAATAAAAAATATCAGTTTAATTTTTTTTAATTTTAGGGTTTAAAAATGGTCCTATTCTTATACATCACATTTATCTATTCTATTTGTTGACCGACTTCCCAAAAGAAGGAGGTATTCAATTCGTCGGTATATTTATTTTTTTTTTTTTTTTTTTTTTTTTTTTTTTTTTTTTTT